TAGAATCTGTTCCTTGAAACAAAAATATAGTTTCAGCTCGGGCTATACCAGTTACCGATACCTGTCTGAGATGTAAAAAATCTTTGATCACCAGGGCTGGTATATCTAAGGGGGTCGCGACATAGGAGTCCATTTTGGACGCCATTTTTTTCGAAATAGTAGTCACATAGTAGTCGCCATTGATCTGGCAACGTGGCAACTTGTAGTCGCCAGGTTTACCAATATAAGAAAAAAAATCAATGTCATTTTTTAAATGACATTTCCATTATAAAATGCCCATATTTTTTAGGATAAAATATTTCAATTTAATAAATTATTAATCTCAGATGTACATAGAATACGTCGGGAAAAGTAGATCACTTTCAATTTTGTGCTGTTTTAGTTTTGTTTGTTTTAAAAGGTAATTGAAGAGATGACAATTTTCTTATAGATGATGCATAACAAATTATTGCTCCCTTTTTTAGAGCTCCAATCCCTTAAGTCTATTTATTTTAGGTATTTTTAAATCGTTGGTAGGTATTATTCACTTTTGTATGTTTTTAGTTAATTTAAATAATTTTGTGTAATATCTTGCGATTTGTTTTCTATACATTTTTAACCGACTTCAAAAAAGGAGGAGGTTATCAATTCGTCGCGATATTTTTTTTTTTTTTTTATGTATGTTCAGTGATTATTCTTTAACACGGTGTCCGATTTCAATGATTCTTTTTTTGTTAGAAAGGGGGTATTTCAGGGGTGGTCCCATATAAATTTAGTCAAAATCTAATAATTGGGTCCATGAGAAAATCCTCAAACTCTTCATTTTTTATGTATGTTCAGCGATATTTTTTTAATACGGTGTCCGATTTCAATAATTCTTTTTTTGTTAGAAAGGGGCTACTTTAGTGGTGGTCCCATATAAATTTGGTCAAAATCTAATAATTGGAATAATGAGAAAATCCTCAAACTCTTCATTTTTTATGTATGTTTAGAGATAATGCTTTACCACCTTGTCCGATTTATACGATTTTTTTTTGTTAGTAAGGGGGTACCTCATGGGTGGTCCCATATGAATTCGTAATACTTGTAGCATGTATTTGTTGTCTACATCTTACAAAGGATGGATTTGAAATACCTTTACAACAGAGGTACTTTCCTAAAACTGGCCGAAATTTGAAACTGAATACAGTTCTTAGAGAAAATCTCCAGTAAAAAATGTCTGCATGCAGAATAACAGTAGCATAGATTAACAAAAGCTGACAAAAGAGTTGGACAAACCTTTGTCTAGAGCTTTTTTAATATTTCAGGACAATAGTGTTAACAGCAGACTACAACAAAAACATCCAAAGAATAGTAATCAAGCAAATTATTCCGGTATCTATATTTTTATTCAAAACTTTTGTGCTTCTACTCCAATACTAACCATATAGAAGCATATGCATTTTATAGTATTTGCAAGATTCGGATCAAATGTACCCACAATTTATAAAGATTATTAAACTAAAATAAAACATTTCAAATAACACCTGCTTTTATGTTAAATATGTTTTTATTAAATACATAAATTAGTCTCAACCACACATTTTGTTTTGTTTTTACTTCTAGTGTAAAAGTGACTACTAATTCAGTCTTTCAAGTTTATTATTTATAGAAACCAGCTACTACAAAATATCTTATTGATGATAACTAATTTCTCTTTAATAATGGTTTTGCATTTATTAACATTTTACAGCACTTTGTTTATATGAAACCTCTATTTAACTCTTAATTAAATCACATTTAAATCAAGTAATTACATTTTCATATTCAACTTATGTATTCTTATTAGAACTTGGTCACTTTTTTTTTACTTTGAATCTTTTGACTGTGGTAACAGTCCATTCACCAAACCACAAAGTCACTTAAAAATGTTGAAAGAGAATGTCATAAAGGTAAAATTCCTTCTTCTATCATGTTTTTCATGCAATTTTAGGTTGTAAACGTTTTGTCCAACACCTTTTTTACAATTTATCCCAAGCAATACTATGAAAGATTTAAATCCTGGATATACAGCATTCAGTTTTGAGATGAGTGCAATCACAATGTAGTTTAAGAGATAATTTTCACATGAACACTTATTTACCACAGCACAAACGCATGTACCTATTCATGTAACATTAAAATAAAGTGGAAAAAAATTGCATAATTTGGTATATAAAAAAGTACAAAATGTTTTTAGTTTGAATTAGACATTGGACTACGAGGAAAACAGTGGTTCCTGGTGGTTCCATAGATAAATTAATATGTAAGATAAATCGTTTACATGCACGGCACTGGTAACACGTTTAGTTCCTCAGCATACTATTTGGAGCCACCATCGCACATTACACAATAGGCTTGACAGTTAAAGGCAGCACAGAAGAAGAAAATAAAAAGAAGAGTGTCTAGTTTTCCCGCGGTTCATTCAAATGTACTTTATTATTTATTTACATTTTTTCGGAATTCATTACTCAAAAAAAAACTAATATTTAAATTAAAATATTGTATTTAACATAAATATTAGTTTTTTAAAGTACTAAAACTCCAAAAAATATAAATAAAGAAATATTTATACTAAAATACTTGAAACACAGGTATAGTTTAATCATTTAATACAAGTAAAAGGTGCATTTAAACGTTTATTACATACATAACATATACTCGATATTACATAACAATAATTATAAGAGAAATTAATAGTAATTTCCTCTCATTCTTGGAAAATGGACCTATTTTCGATGCAGGTGTTAGGTGTTTTCTCAGGGCGTTTTCTATAAAAACAAAAAAAAAGTGATCAAAATATTGCCAATTCTTATAAGTACAAGTTAATTTTAATTAGTTTATAAACAAAAATTATTTCTCATAGTTCAATAGGTAATTTGAATTTTATTTTAACTGTAAAACAAATCTGTTCTAGTTGAAATTTATAACAAATTAGAGTTTAAAATTTCTTTTCATTTTTGACAGACAACAAAAGGATATCCTTTAAATTATGTAATAATCATTAAGTTCGCAAGCCCTCTCACCAAGGCAAGGTTTCAATCTAAGAGGAGGAAAAAGTGAAACTTATTGACTATTAATTATATTGAAATTTATAAAAATACTAGATAATTTAACAATCAAATTATTTAGTATAGGTTTACTGCAATTTGGAAAATGTAGCTTAATTGATTAATCTCTTTAACAAACAAAATTATTATAAATAAAAAATTAAGAATTTGTTAGTACTTACCAACTTTAGCCAGTAAATGAAGAGCAGCAACTCCGAGGTTTGAAAAAATCTTCTTTCGAGAATTTGCTTTTTGTTTACTGTTGCCCCCATCCCACCACGAGAAGGTAAAGTAGTGGACTAACACATGGAGGATGCTTTTTTATTTCATTTTTTCTGTAAAAAGCATTTACAATTAGTCGTTTACGTTTTATGGCAATTTTGCTAAAAGACTCTGGCAAAAAATGATCTTCACAAAGATAGCGAGTTTTATTATCAAAAGTTAAATTTAAATACTTAAACCAGTTCTCTCGAATTTTAACATCAGAAGGAAAATGAAAAAAAAGGTTTTATTTGAATAACCAGCTTGTTGAATATTAGAATACCTATTTAAACAATTAGAAGCTGAACAAGAATACTTAGTTTCACCTTTCGATGCTTTGCCCGGGTCGGACATGTTTTGATATTGTTGCAAGTTACAAATACATATATTAAAAAAAGAATTGAAAATAGATTCAAAATGAAATTAACTATATTGGCTAAGAAAACAATGATAAACAAAGTCCTTAAACAAATCTAACACCTAATATTGAATTAAATTGTTAATACTTACTAATTACATCAAATCATCACTTATAAATCTTCTTCACCTAAAAATAACTTTCATAAAATAACTTTTATTTACTTATATTGTTGTAATTTGGCCATCATTTCGCCTTCCGCTGCCATTCCGTTTTTCATTTTTACAAGGTTGTCAAACTTCTTTTTAAAATATCCCATCAATAGTATGCAATAGTATGCCATTGTATGGATGGTATCGAGCTTGACAAAAAAACAACATAATATGTTTGAAATAATTCTAATCTCATGAAAGTTTATGGAAACTGGCAACATCGCTTTCATCTTATTGCGATGGTGGCTCCAAGTAGTATGCTGAGGAACTAAACACCTAAAATACTTGTTACCAGTGCCGTGCATTTAAACGATTTATCTTGTTTATTAATTTATCTATGGGTGGTTCATTCCACTTGTACCATATTGACATTATTATGCACGATGCTCGTTCAAACGAACGTCAGAAAAGTGTTGCCAACTTAAGCTGACTACTATTTCCCCCTTAGCCTCAGTCACCCCCTCATCCATTTACTGGGTCTATGTCGCGACCCCCTTAGATATACCAGCCCTGGTATATACATTCGTATTTACAAATGGATGAGCAATCTATATTATATATCATTGAATAAACCAGCGCTCTTTGTGGTTCGGAGCAGTTCGGAGTCAAGAGTGCCGAGCTCGAGTTCCGAAAACGTTCCTTGTTCCATTTTATGTTGACATTTGACATACCATTTTGATTTTGAAAGAAAATTGTTCTTTCTGCTTTATTTTATATTTGAATAGAAATTTATTATTCACATTAAACCAAATGGCCAAACGAGGAGGAATAACATCTTTCGTTAGAGGAATCTATAACGACGAATTTAAGTGGTGAGCAATATAAAATATATCAAATTTAAGGTTATAAATTCAATCGATATTTTAAACCCTTTATAGTTTAATTACCTACTTTTTATAAAATAGTTATGTAATTTTAGGGCTTTAGTCAAGTCTATCGGGCTCTTTGCCTTAGGAATAAGAATTGCCCAAGAATGTGCGGGAATGGAACTGTTACCAGCACAAGCTTAAAAAGTCGGATTATTGTTATGTATATGTTTGTTAGATGTTAAAAATATTTTTAATTATAGAGAGAAACTATATTCTGCTTTTTTTATACATAGAACCTGCATCCAAATGACAATGAGAAGTTTACATCAAACATTTCCGATTTACATATAGTAGAGAGCGTCAATCCGGATTAATTGTGACTGGGCCCTGTCCGGATTATCCAAAATGTCCGAATTTTCGAAAAGAACCAAAAAAAAAGATTTTTTGAGTTCATAACAAAAAGAAAACTTGCTAAAACCGTAAATAAAATATTAATTGAATCATTAATTTCAAAAATGACTTTAGTTAACTTGGCTTTTGATATTTCACCACCAAACCACTCTGTGACCATAGATGCACATTCTGTCCTAAAACCACACAACTCTGATGCTTCCTTATATATTTACCAAGTAGATTTTATATGTTCACTGCAAAAAACAACCTATCAGTTTTCTGCTTCTCCTGTAAAATGTTTTTTGACTTAGGTCGTTTTTTAAATGACCGATTCAATTGAGGTTTCAAGTCTTTGAAAGATAGGAATAGGTATATATTTATTTTTATGAAATCAGAGTCAGTGTTGGTAATAATTTTACATTTATTTATAATATAAACTCGCACAAACACACAGTATTTAACCATTCTGTTAAATGTTTTACATTGTACAAAGTGATATTGTATAAACTGGCATTTAGCTTTAGTCAATCTTATTTCAGTGTATAATTGGTATTTTTACCAAAACTCTAAAGAAAAAAACTTTTCAAATACCAGCTTGGTAATATCAATCAAAAAATATATAATAAATATAAAATAAAAATTGTTTCATAATAATTATTGTTATAAAAATTTGGCATAATGTGACTTCAGTTATAAAACTATATACAAAAAGTAAAAAATATTGTATAAAAATTTAAATATATCAAAAGTTGCTGCAATAGGAGCTGCCAAAATATGTCCTAGTTATAATGGATTGAACTGTTTTTTAATGTTACTTATTGATTTCATCATATAATGTGTTCAGTATCTATAAGTGTTAAAAATGACAGAATTATAATATTTGAAATTAAATAGGTCTCTTTTTTTTGAGAGTTCTTTAAAAAGAAAAATCAATAAGTAACAATATACACATTTTCGAGCAAGTCTTTGAAATTTAAAGCTTTTACGAGATGTTTAAAATAATATAATTTAAAAAAATATCACTTAGTCACTGATATATTTTACTCTTAAGTAACAAATATATAAACATAATATATAGGTTGTCGCGTCTCAAGTGATTCAATGTATTACCAGTTCATGGGAGCCATGTTAAAAAAAGCCCTGGTCAAATATCTATGAAAAGTCAAAAATGATTTGTATTTAAAGCTTAAGGAACGAACATATCTTTAATGATTTCAGAGATATTGGGCCATAAATTCAAATATGCATGTAAAGAGAAAAAACAAAACTGTATGTGGATGTTTTATTTCATTTTAATTAATCTTAGTTCTTATTTGCATATAGATATCTACTATTATTTAGAAATAATGCATTGAAACACATTGGAGAATGCAACAATAAAAACAAATTATAAAAAACTCATACACAAAACCCTGGTAAAACGACTAAAATTAAAAACTAAAAGAAAAAACAGATAGTTTCTAAATATATCAGATTCTTTCTTTAATAAACCGGTGAAAATATTGCCATCTTTGTCAATAATTTGTTTATAAAGACTTAGGTACATTCAAACATTCGGATATATTTTTGAATATGTTTTTAAAATTATTAAAAATATGCCGAACACCTATTGACTCAAACAACCGACATTTTAAAACAACCAACAACATTATATAATACTAAAAACAATTTTCCTCAGACAAAATCTGGTTCAGAGCTTTCTGATATTCTATCTTAATGAGGGGCGTTTTTTTTTCATTTTACTTATGATAATGAAAAAGTCTCTTTCTCATGTTCAAAAATTGAGTTTAATTTCACGATTTATTTTTAAAGAGAAACGTTTTTATAAAAAAGTAGTACCTAGCAAGGGAAATTAGATATATTTTTTTCTAAAGATTATGACATTTAAAAAACATCGAATTTACAGATTCTAAATCAAAAATGTACCTGCATTTTGTTTTTAAATACTTATTTCTCTTTAACAACAAACCTGTGAACCGTCCGACATTTTAAGCAACAACCTTGTCACATGTCAGTACAATTTACAACGTGACCTTGGTTTCAATTCCGTCACCATAACCGCTACTGCTCACCACCGTGTTTTTGGGATTCACCCTGTCTAGAGAGTCGACGCTCTTCTTTGGACGTTTTTCTTTTCTATTTTCGTTGCTTATGACAGTGCTTTGGGTCGTGTTGCCCAAGCTTGAACACCTGCTTGCAAGGATAAATAATTTGATTAATTTTAAAGCATTTTTTTATAACAAAGAAAGGTGAGAAAATCGGTTGATATACCAAAAACTAAAAAACTTCTGAGTTGAGTCTTCGGGGCCTCTACCAATTGGACCACAGACAATGTCATGACATACAAGAAAACAACATCTGCAAACGAATGAAGAATCTTAGAATATATTCCAGTACAAGATGAGATTGGAGTCCTTCTATACTATGTCAGAAGGGTAGGTTTAAGGAGAATTGATTTCAAATCTGCATATTCGACTATCGTAGCTATGTGTCTGGATGGTCCAATTGGCAGAGGCGCTGATGGCTCAACTCGGAGGTTCAAGGTTTGATCCATGGCCGAGTCACTCATTTTTTCTTTTCTTTATTTCTTAATGTCGAAAGGGATTATATCTTCACACTTCAAAAAATTGAATTTCTTTACAAGTTAACCATAGCCTACTAGAATATACTTGTTACCAGAGCATTTCTTTATAACTACAGTTTGGTTACTTTCATGATCTACGTCATATGTAACTCCTAACTACTGTGGTAAGCTGTTGATATTTATTTGCTACATTATGTGTGATGCCACCACAGTAACCACAGTCGATGCTGTGATTGTAGTGTTTATAAAGAAATGTCTTTAAATGTACAATGTGTGACTATATAGCCACGCCTCGTATATTTATATCTGGTAAAATACAGGGTAAAATAAACTCGAATTTTTCATCTCGGAGTAAAGTTACACTTAGACTGACTTGGCAGATTAGCGAATTAGCTTAATCAGCAAGTAGTTACTTTTAACTTTACTCAGAGTTGAAAAAACTGACCTTAAATTGAAAGTATTACTACAGTAGGTGGTAAAATTTCTCACCGAGACGTTAAACTACTTTGACTATCGTTCAGTCTGCTAGAAGTAGGCCTGTGATGCTCTCGTTCCCAAGTGAATGACATGTGGTTTTCGTTGTTGGTGTAATTCGAATGAGAATCCGATGTGTGACTGGATTTCGAACTGTGGTTGTATTTTTGCGGAGTGGGAACGCTTTTAAAATAGGCCCCTAAAAATGTTCAATTAGTATATTATAAAAATGTACGAATAACTAATTAGAAATTAAATAAATACCATTTGTAGAACCGCTTTGTCTCCAAACTTTTAGTCTATGTACAATTTCGCTAAAATTAGGCCTTCGATTTGCTTGTTCGGCCCAACATTCTATCATTAGGGCGTAGCAATAACTGGGGCAAGCGTCAGGACAAGGCAGCAATTTTCTAGACCTTATCATGTTGATAACTTCTTGGTTATTGTAACCGTAATATGGCTAAAAAGTGATTCAACATCTTAGAATACATTTTGTCCAATATTTACAGTTTACAGTTGAATAGAATACCTTATAATTGTATAAATTTATAGCAGATAAAAAACAGAATTGTTAAAAATAAAGAAACAATCATGAGATGAAAGCTACAAACAACAATGAAATCATCTAATATACATTTTTAAAGTATGATAACTATAATGTTTTTTAATTGACGATTGCTATAGTTCTTATAATCGGTATTAAGCATGTAATGAATGAAAACAATGTCACACCGTACGAATTATTGCTATATTATAATATTCAATGACATAAAATACCTGTAAACCATAACTGTATATTTCCCACAACACGACTCCATATGACCATACGTCACTTTCGGTTGTAAATTTCCCATACAAAATAGAATCGGGAGGCATCCATCTAACCGGTAACAAAGATTTCGATTGCACTCTAAAACATAATTAAAAATGTACCAGGTGGCCAAATAAGAATAACTCTCAGCCGTATCTCAAATCTCAACAATCGTTTATATTACTTTAGTGAAAAATGTTAATGAAGAAAGTGGCCACGAAAAAAACCTGGAAATTATTTAGAGAATCGTAGGACAGCCGCTATTTTGCTTATTTTATACAATATTTCCAAGTTAAAATCTTTTACAAAGATAATAGTTGGAATTTCCAAAAAAAACATTGCCTGTTATTTGACTAAATTTATAAATTAGAAGCGGGTAAAGACAATTTGAACAAACATTTATTTCGAATCAGAAATTAAATTAAAATGACAAACCTGTAGTAATCACAGCTGTACATATCCCTGCTCAAACCAAAATCACTTATCTTAACCACTAAATCTTTGGATACAAGGCAGTTTCTAGCAGCTAAATCTCTATGAACATAATGATTAGACGAAAGGTATTCCATACCTGCAAAAAAAGATTTGGTATTAGTTTTAAGTCAAAAAAAGTTCTCTAATGTAAATGTATAAATTAATAAAGACGATAAAAAATAGAATTTGGAAATTACAAAAAAAAGTATTTACCTTGAGCAATTTGTATTGCTGTATCTAAAAATTGATTATGTGTCAAACATTTTCCTTCTTCTGGTGAATTTGAAATTAGGAATTCATGTAAATCACCCTGTAATTAAAAACGAAGATTAAATCGTAGAAAATATATTTTTTTATTTAAATATATTAATCAAAATACATTAGGGATTACTAAGAAAAAATTAACTATAGAAGAATCATGATAGTATTTTATTTCAAATAAAAATACATTCTTAGTCCTATAATAAACGAAATTTTAGAATTTTCGAAAATTAAATATTATCGATTTGTTTTGAAAGTAGGAAGTTGAAAATTGGAATTGTAGCTACTTATCATAAATAAATAATGAAGCGTTTCAGGAATTTTAGATTTCCCATTTTAAGGGGGGAAAGGGAGGTGAAGTTTATATGAGAGTATCGTAAAAATTGATAAAAATAAAATAATAATAATATAATAAAAACAAATAAAATTAAATAAAATTAAATAAAATTAAATAAAATTAAATAAAATTAAATAAAATTAAATAAAATTAAATAAAATTAAATAAAATAAAATTAAATAAAATTAAATAAAATTAAATAAAATTAAATAAAATTAAATAAAATTAAATAAAATTAAATAAAATTAAATAAAATTAAATAAAATTAAATAAAATTAAATAAAATTAAATAAAATTAAATAAAATTAAATAAAATTAAATAAAATTAAATAAAATTAAATAAAATTAAATAAAATTAAATAAAATTAAATAAAATTAAATAAAATTAAATAAAATTAAATAAAATTAAATAAAATTAAATAAAATTAAATAAAATTAAATAAAATTAAATAAAATTAAATAAAATTAAATAAAATTAAATAAAATTAAATAAAATTAAATAAAATTAAATAAAATTAAATAAAATTAAATAAAATTAAATAAAATTAAATAAAATTAAATAAAATTAAATAAAATTAAATAAAATTAAATAAAATTAAATAAAATTAAATAAAATTAAATAAAATTAAATAAAATTAAATAAAATTAAATAAAATTAAATAAAATTAAATAAAATTAAATAAAATTAAATAAAATTAAATAAAATTAAATAAAATTAAATAAAATTAAATAAAATTAAATAAAATAAATAAAATTAAATAAAATTAAATAAAATTAAATAAAATTAAATAAAATTAAATAAAATTAAATAAAATTAAATAAAATTAAATAAAATTAAATAAAATTAAATAAAATTAAATAAAATTAAATAAAATTAAATAAAATTAAATAAAATTAAATAAAATTAAATAAAATTAAATAAAATTAAATAAAATTAAATAAAATTAAATAAAATTAAATAAAATTAAATAAAATTAAATAAAATTAAATAAAATTAAATAAAATTAAACAAAATAAAAGTAAATAAAATTAAATAAAATTAAATATAATTAAATAAAAACAAATAAAAATAATTAAAAAAAAAAGTGAAATTTCTAACTCCCTGTCATTAAAAATATTGCGAGTGAATTGATAAAAACGACATATGTTGATGTTTCTACACCTTGACAGCCTAAGGAAGGACAGACAATTTTATGTGGTATGTTAGAGAGTCAGTTATGAAAGCATTTTGGTGATTTTAGCAGATGAGAGCTGTGTACCAGAAATGTGGTATATAAAGATATTTTTAATTAGATTACTTATTTAAATATTAGATTATTCTACTTAACTCAAATCTATAATACTATCTCATACATACCATGAACTCTAAAAGCATAACGCTTCTTTTTTTATGCCCAAAAATATAAAAACCAACTGAGATAAAAATAGTAATTTACCAGTAAAACATGTGTTTTAATATAAGAAGCCTTTTTGGTTTTTACCAATTTCGATTCTAAATCAAATTATTGGAATACAAGAAAAGTGTCACAACTCAAAAATATAGATCTTTCGAGGACATCCATTTTAAAGTGTCTCCTATAATCTTTCATTTCATTACTATTCACCTTGTATTCAAACAGTAAGAATAATATTAAGAATAAACCCAAACATATTACCCAGCAAACATTTTGTGCAGGATAATAAAAGGCCCAATAACTGTTACCCTTCAATTGTAATGATGGCCATTTAACTTTTATAATTAAAATGCCGGCATATATATGTCACTACGGCCGACAGTCGGGCCGAAGTCACTTAGCCATTAAATCCAGTTAATAGGCCCCCACTTTCCCTTTAATGTCTAGAAATAAATATATTGGCAATTAATGGCCTATTGATGGGAAGCTAACGGGAAATTGCTGGCCTTTTGCCATATTAATACTGACTGCTGAATAAAGGCCATGTGTCAGGCACATGACCAGACAAGATATTCGATAGTGCCTCTTTGACCAGTAGTACCGTTTGAACTATACATTATATACAAAAACAGGAGGCATTTCAATATTATAGACATTTTATTTAATTCAGCTATAATACAGAAAAAAATTCTTCTTCAAAAAAATTATTTATAAAATATTCCAAATTAACATGTGTTGAAGAACAATGAAAATAAAATACATCCTGTATATGTTATGATGTTTTTGTTTTTATTAATTGTACGAGTATTGTCAAATAATAAAATATTTGTCAGATTATAAATCTACTATTTATTCAAATTTGTTTACCATTTCTAATAGGTTATGAGCCCAGAAGAATAAATAGGTCGAATAATTGCTACCAGTCGATATATATAGTTATTAATATATTTTATTAAAAAATGGATCAGTCTAGTCAAGGAAGTTTCGTCAAATTGAAAGGAAAAGATAACTGGAACGTATGGAAGTTCCAGATTAAGATTATTCTCAGTTCAAAAGAATTAATTAATGTCGTAGAGAAGGATTTCGTACCAAATAAAGAAGTTGAAGGAAATAATTATGATAAAGCATTCAAGGAATGGCAGAAGAAAAATAACCAAGCTAAGGAAGTCATAGTTACTAGGATTGAAGAAGGTCCTATGAACTACTTACTCACGTGTGAATCAGCTAATGAAATGTGGAACAAGTTGTTAGCTGTTTATGAACAAAAATCAGACGTTAGTATCCATGTTTTACAACACAAGTTCTTCAATTGTAAATATGAAGGTGAAGGTATATCTTCACATATATCAAAGCTTGAGACAATTGTTAATCAGTTAAAACAAGCTGGAGAAAATATTTCGAATCAAATGCTTATGACAAAGATCTTAATGTCTTTACCTCCTTCATATAAACATTTTATTTCTGCTTGGGAATCGGTTCCTGTTACAGATCAACAGTTAAATAATTTAACCTCGAGACTCTTAATTGAAGAGGAAAGAATGCAGCAAGAAGAGCACGAGTTACATGAAGATAATTGTGCATTAGCAGCCAAATCATGTAAAGGTTGCGGAAAATTTGGCCACTTTACAAGTCAGTGTTTTAAGAATAAATCAAATGAACCCAATTACAATAACATTACTTGTCATTATTGTAAAAAACCGGGTCATTTTATTAGGAATTGCAGAATAAGAATTTCAAAAGAAAACAAAGGTCCTGAAAGAAACAGCTATAAAAATGCATTCATTAGTGTGGCATTATACAATAATAATTCTCTTGATAAAGAATGTTGGTACTTAGATAGTGGTGCTAGTGAACACATGACTTGGCAGGAAGATTGGTTTGAAGAAATTAATTCTATAAACAAATCAGTTAAAATTGGTGATGGAACTTTATTGAAAGCCGTGGGAATTGGAAGTATAAATGTATTAATGGAAATTAACTCAAAAACTATTCCGACTGTTTTAAATAATGTTTTACTGGTACCAAAACTTCAATTAAATCTTTTCTCTGTTTCAAGCGCTTTAGATAAAGGCTATAAGCTAAGTGGAAATTCAAAAGAATGTCATTTTGAACGAAATGGCATGATTCTCGGAATAGCAGAAAGACAGGGCAAAGTTTTTATTATGAAGATGAAAATCGATTATACAAATCATTCTTTAGCCAGTTTATCAGAGTCAAATTTAGATTGTATTGCGGAACAGCCTTTAAGAAATTCAATAAAATCAGTGTCAAACCAAAGAATTATGTCAAAATCGAATTTGCAAGGATCCAGCTCAACATATTCTTTAAATGTTTGGCATGAAAGATTTGCTCATCAAAATTTTAACCACGTTAGAAACATACTAAAAAAATATTGTGTAGAATACGTCGATTCGAATGACAGTTTCTGTGAAATGTGCCTTGAAGGTAAAATGCACAGATTTTCTTTTGGAAGTAGTTCATCTAAAACCACTCAACTTTGTTCGCTTATACACTTAGACGTATGTGGGCCTATGGAATGTACAAGTTTAGGTGGTTCCAGATACTTCTTATTAATAAAGGATGACTATTCACATTATAGAACTGTGTACTTTATTAAACATAAGTCAGAGGTCCCATATAAATTAAAAACATTTATTAAAAGTGCTGAAAATGATACTGGTTGTAAAATAAATACAATAAGAAGTGATAACGGAACAGAAATAGATAACAATGAAGTAAAAACATGTCTAGAACATTTTGGAATTCGCCATCAAAAGTCTGCACCGTATTGCCCGGAACAGAATGGGAAAATAGAAAGAGAAATGCGAACCATTGTAGAAGCGGCAAGAACAATGCTACGAGCAAGTAACTTAAACAAAAATTGCTGGGCAGAGGCTGTGAATACAGCAGTCTATGTGTTAAACCGAACGGGAACGAGTTCTGTAAAAAACCAAACTCCATATGAGTTGTGGTTTGGAAAACAACCTGATATCCGTCAATTCCAAATATTTGGTAATGAAGCATACATTCATATTCCGAAAATAAAACGTAAAAAGTGGGATTCAAAGAGTAAAAAGGGTATATTTGTTGGCTACGAAGAAAATATTAAAGCTTTTAGAATTTTATTACAGGAAGAAAGGAAAATTGTTGTATCTCGCGACGTATTATTCTTCCCTTTATCAAAAGATGTTGATTTTTCCCCATATTCTGGGCACAATAATGATATACCTGATAATTTCGAAATAAATCCTGAAAATTTTAATGAAATAGAAAATTACGAAGAAAGTAACTCCGAAGGAGAAAATATTGAAGACGCGCCACTTCAAAACCGAGAAGAAAATGATGATAGAGATACAATTATTGAAAATATAGATAGTTATCAATTAAGAGATAGAAATAAAATTAAAAAACCTGAAAGATTGGGTTATGAAGCTGACGAAGCCTGTTTTCTGAATGTTTACGGTTGTGAAGATATGCTAGGATATCAAGAAGCAATAAATGGCAAAGAAAGAGATTTTTGGCAGGAAGCAATTACAAAAGAATTTTCTGCACTTGAAGAAAACAACACATGGTCAGAGGTAGAATTACCAAAGGATAAAAAGGCCATAGAAACCAAATGGGTGTTTAAGAAGAAGAAAAACGATAAAGGTGACGTTATAGAATATAAGGCCAGGTTAGTAGTTAGAGGTTTTCAACAACAAGAAGAATTTGATTACTCCGAAATATATGCACCTGTTGCTAAAATAACTACTTTGAGAATTCTTTTGGCCATAGCAGCACAAAAAAACCTCACTATATACCAGCTAGATGTTAAAAGCGCCTTTTTATATGGAGATATTAAAGAAGATGTTTATTTGAAAAGGCCTGAAGGAATGAATCTACCAAATAATGTCGTGTTAAAACTAAATAAATCTTTATATGGCTTGAAAAAATCTCCACGTTATTGGAATGAAAAATTTAATAGTTTCGTAGAGAAAATGAATTTTAACAGATCAAAATCGGACTATTGCTTATATTTCAAATATTCTAAAAATGATTTTATTTACTTATTAGTATATGTAGATGATATCATAATTCTGGGAAACGATGAGAAAGCAGTTGAAGATTTAAAAATGAACCTGAAAAGAAATTTTAAAATGAAAGATTTAGGACGAGCTTCAAACTATTTAGGAATACACATAGATCAACAAGAAAACATAATTGAAATTAGTCAAATAAGTTATTTGGAAAATATTCTAAAAAATTTCGGCATGATAGATTGTAAACCAGTTCAAATTCCAATAGATCCAAATACGCAAATCTCTGATGAAAGTTCCAACGATATATGCTTAGAAAAAGAATGTAGACAATTGATTGGGTCATTAATGTATGCAGCTTTGGGAACCAGGCCAGATTTGTGTTCATCGGTATGTTACTTGAGCAGATTTCAGAGTAAAGCTAACACAGACTTATGGAAAGCACTTAAGAGAGTCCTAAGATATGTTAAAAGTACGATAAATTTGAAGTTGGTTTATAAAAAATTAACAAAAGAGCAGCCTATCCTGATTGGCTTTGCAGATGCTGACTGGGCTGGAGATAGGAAAGACCGAAAATCAACTTCAGGGTATATATTCAAGCTTTATGGTTCAACAATTTCTTGGGCTTCACGAAAACAGCAAACGGTGGCACTTTCATCAACTGAAGCAGAGTACATGTCCCTTGGTTTATGTGTTAGTGAGGCGTGCTGGATTAGAAATATTTTAGAAGATCTAGGAGTTAAAATCAATGATCCCATTACAATATACGAAGATAATCAGTCAGCGATAAAAGTAGCAAAGAATCCTGAAAATCACAAAAGATTGAAGCACGTCGACATTAAATTTCATTTCGTTCGAGACAAAGTCTCCGAAGGTCTAGTTGACATACAGTATGTACCTACACAAGATCAAGAAGCAGACATGTTTACTAAAGCGCTTGGAAAAACCTTATTCGAAAGACAGAGACATAATATAGGACTACGATGATTGGATTATTTTTTTATTTCATTGAAAGGGGGTGTTGAAGAACAATGAAAATAAAATACATCCTGTATATGTTATGATGTTTTTGTTTTTATTAATTGTACGAGTATTGTCAAATAATAAAATATTTGTCAGATTATAAATCTACTATTTATTCAAATTTGTTTACCATTTCTAATAACATGTGAAAGTAAAAAATTACAATGAATACTGAATAGTGAATACCAGCAATGCAAGACTGGCCTCATAGCACATGTCCACTCGTTGAGTATGTAACAAGCGATCATCGGTGTTTCCATCTATGAACGCGGCACGGAGCCCCACTGAACTGTTGGAATTGGGTCTGCGACAGTTAAAAGCCTTTTAACTTTTACCATGCAATACAGTTACTTACCCTTCATAAGGCCATCCTCCAGCAACATAATGCTGGGCCACTATCTAAAGGCCAAAAGTTTGATTTTATCTTTTATTCGTCGCATTCATTTTCCCTTCAATTACAGCAAAAGGCCAGCAATACTCCGGCAATTTATTGTTTGTTGGGTATACATTCAAGGACAAAAAAAATATGCAATTTGCATAATAAAATATGCAATTTTTTTGTCCTTGAGTATATTTTCATCCCTCTTTTGAGTTAGCTATGTGTGTATTAAGTGATACTTTGCCACTTGAGACAGAAAGTTGGCCGCGCGACGCGTAGCGGAGCGCGGCAATCTCTCGAAAGCGACAACGAACTTTTCGCTCAAAATACACACAAGCTTTTTTCTACGATCACATTATTTTAAGAAATAGATATAAAAACTGAAAATTTGTCGTAAGTAGTGTATACTGTGTTGCCTATATCTAAATTAATCATGAAAAACAGTTGATATACAAGTCAATGTTAACTTGGATAATAAAAAAAAACATCAAACAACGTACAAATAACTTGAAAATCATTAATTATAAAGAAATATTATTATATTATTTCATAAATTTTCATAGAAAAATGCCTGGAATTTAGAGATTTATTTTTTTCTAACAAATGCAGGATACCAGGTTTTTTAGTTGCTGCAGTACTATACAGTTGTTTCAACTCATGAATAATTATTCTGGTTATAGTTTGACTTATGTAACTGTTGAAAATAATGCACTTTTCAATAAAACTGGCATATTTTGATTTCATTGACTGTCTGAGCAGAACTAGATTTGTGTCATTCTTCATCATTTGAAAGTTGCAATATGTCTTTCTTCCACATAAAAATATGAGTTATATATTTTCACAATAATCTCGAAAATAAAAATTCTTGTGCACCAACGGTATTTAAAAATTTAAAGCCATCCTTAATTTATTTTACGCAGCAAATATTCTTTAAAAAAAAACGTGTACTTACTTCTGACATGTACTCAAACAGCATACACATGGGTTCCTGCTTCATCACAACACCCAACAGACATATGATATTAGGGTGCTTCAATTCTGATATGAGTTCGATTTCCCTTTGGAAGTCGGCTTGCGTTTTCGCGCTTGCGTTCTCCTTTAGAGACTTAACGGCTACAAATATTTTACCGGTCTTCATCTTCAACTCTCCTTTGTACACTTTACCTGAAAAAAAAAGTGAAGCATACTTATTATATGTTTAAATAAATATAGATGTCTAAACAGGTCTTTCTCTAATGAAAATAAAAACAATAATCCAAAATGAAAATTTTGACAATATTAATTGTTCGAAATGCTGCTATAAATATCAAAGTGCATTAGCAACATTGTCATTAACATCCACTAGATATTAATCTAAACTCGACACAATGACCTATTTAAATTAAATAAATGATTTCTTACAAATCTACCTCAATATGGCCCTAGTGTACGTCCATTTTAATAAGATTAGAGTGTTTCCAGTACGTTATCGTTAACGTCGACGTACAAAAATATTTACGTTGAAGTCCAAAATATGAGTTGAAGTTGTTAAAAGCATCGTGACATGACAGATAATGACAATATTAGGATTTATTTTTTCCATTTAAAAATAGATTATTTTATTTGCGTTACGTGTATACGCCAGAGCTCGTAAGATTACGTATTTACGTAGACGTGAATACACATGCGTAGATGTTAATTTTTACGTATACGTTTACGTTCATAGCATCATTTCAACTCTCTAATAACAGGTATTTTTATTAAATGTTTTTGTGCATTCGACGAAAATAAAAATATTAACCAATTTTAATACGTAGAGGATAAGAGAAACTCGATTTCTTATGAAAAAAATGCTAAAAGGGTCAATTCTGACAATACCATTGTCACTGTTTTGCAGTATTTTGAAAACCATCTAAGGAACTCCATTCGGCAAGCTTGTCGTGAGTTGAATTTAAAATACCTATATAGTCCAATTAAATAACGAAAAAAAGCCCCTTCGAGCTTACATTAATTTGTAATTGGATGAAACAAAAAGGACCTTGTGTATTTTGATGTGATCTTTCCGAAAAAAAAAATAAATGCACCATTCGAAAGAGGAGGCAAAAATAGTTCGGAAAATTCATTGCACAGGTAGTTTTAATGGCGAATTTCTCGCCGCCAGAAGTGCTTTTACCAAAAAGTCGTTTTTTCGTTTTTTTGATCAGAACCATGGACATGAAATTTTGCGATGAATTTGTGGCGAAATTATAAATGTTAGACATATGTGCCCATGAGAGAAGTTGCGTATTTTTTTGTTGGCTCTCAAATAAAATAAGTCCCGCGGCGAAATCTGACATAATTTTTCGGGAATTCGCAGGAAACCAGAGGCGTAGTTTTTTTTTTATTTTTTCCCATGTGATTTTTTCCGGGTTTTCCGAAAACATCTAACAAAATAAATATATTTGAAAAAACTAACTTCGCCATCGAAAAGAGCACAAAAAAATACACAAAAAGGTATACTTTAAAGATGTTAGGAAATTAATCCTAAGCTTGAGTGTAAGTTCCAACTTAGTGATAAGCTTGCTTTTTGTTCGCTAATATCTGGTAATTCTATATTTTGCACAAAACTCAAGAAACGTCTTATAACAAGTCAGTAAAATACAATTTAATAAATTTTAAGCCTAATAAATTTAGATATGCAAGAAATTTAAAAGTGGAAATCGCAAAAAAATCAAATTACAGTAATGTAGTGTATACACGAGTTTTGGATCCCGTGGAGCGCGTGTAATGGGACTTTTGTCGGGAGAATTCTACAACTTAGAAGAAACATACACACTTTAAACTTTGTATACACATTTAGAAGACATGAAATTTGGGTTTGTTTAATTTTCAGACAAAAAAACTAAAAATTGTCAATTTTAGGCAACTTTTCTCAAAAACCGTGTTTTTTGGTCGTCACTTAATGAACAGTGGTCAAAAAAATAGATAAAATAAATTTGCAGAATTTTCCGTAATGTAATCGTATTCTAGACACAATAGAGTACTCAAAAAAAAAAAAAAGTTTTGAGCCATTGGGTGCATTTTTGGCATTTTTGTGCCACTTCAAACTTTCGAAAAAAAATAAAAAAATTTTTGAAAAAAAAAATTATTTAATTGTTTGATATCTTAGCCAATTATGGTCCGATGTCGGTGAAATTCACACACACATAAGATTTCACATTTAAGAGTAAGCTTTGTAAGTGGCATTAAAAAAATTCAAATAGTTTGGCCGTTATAGGCAAACAATGAAATTAGGACCGCGGTGCATTTTGCCCTTCCGCCATATGCCCAATTTTGGGATTTCTCTTGTCCCCTTCTGGCAATCACTAGTCACATCCCTTAAGCTCAAAACGCATTTTTGTTTTTTCAAATATCTTAATTTTTACCAATGTTATAAAGAATTTAGTGTTTGAACATTTAACAAATTCAATTTTTCGACCTTCGTCGCCTCAAAATACTAAACAAATTTCAATCGTCCATACCGCGAGAACGGTACATCGGATCAAAATTTCTCAAGAGACATAAAAATTAGCATTTTTTCTAAGCTTTCAAATGTCGTAAACTGCGTTTTAAAAATATTGATTTATTTCCGACATGCGCCTGCGCAAAATTGAAAAATTGACAAAATCCAAAATTTCGGCACTTTCGAAAAACTGCTACATTTTGTTTTGCCTTTTTTCGAAAAGATCACCTCAAAATACATAGAATGCATTTTGTTTCATCTAATTACAATTTAATGTAAGCTCAAAACCCGTAATTTAATTCGACTAATAGTACGGTATGATTTTTTTTTAAAGAAAATAGTTGCCACGGTTATAAACTTCACAACTTAGAATACATGTTGAATCATCATCAATAACCAATGAACTGGAGTGGGGTAGAAAGCTAATGTGCATATTTTATCAATTGAACAAGATGCGACTCTATGGGCGCAGCCATTTTTATTTTTCATCTCACTCGGGAGTATTTATAATAACCATTTTCTGTTTCACATTGTTATTGTTCAATCCACAGGCTGGTGGATCAGAGAATAACAAAGTGAAATAGAAAATGGTCGTTATAAATACTCCCGAGTGAGGTGAAAAATAACCTGTCTTCGCCCATAGAGTCGCATCTCAAGCCTATTGACAAGCATTCTACCCCACTCCAGTTCATTGTCAATAACAAGCGTTTTAGGAAAGCTACTATAGAATACAAATTCAGATTACTGGGATTCAGATTACGTGGATCACTGAACTTAGGGCCGACAGTTTACAGTTTGTTTCTGAATATCTACGTTTGTCAATCTTTAATTTTTCTGCGTAACAGTCAATATTAGGTTTTTTCCAATGCGCTAGTTCAGTGATGATGTAATTATGGTTCCACTGACAATTAAAGTGACAGTAGATTTTTTGAGTGCGTTTTGTTCGTTTTGTTTACCTAAATTATATCGTTTTTTTCACTTTTATAAATATATCCCTAAAGTAAGTAGATAGCATGTATCAAATATACAATTGTTTAGTTACCAATTACATACCTTTAAACTATTTTTTATGACCTCTAAACGATATTTTAAAATAAAATAAAACCAGTAAAAACGTATATGTCAAATTTATTGATGTTTTTGTTAAAAGTTTGGGTGGAATTAAATGTCAGTGGAACCAAAATGACATCACACTGAACTAGCGCATTGCGAATCTGATGATGAGAAGGACGTCAGACGCATGTGCATTGAAAATAGTCCGTTCCTACAGAGCCACGGATAATCTGATGAACTGTCATTAAATGAAGCTATTTAACCAAAATTCCATTTATTTTGACCAAAACCACATACTTTGAGATTTTCTTTTACTATACGGAGAATGGTCGCACTGCGCAGCTTTCTGAGTGCCTTTTAAAAGGAGATAGAAAACTCCGCCATTTTGAACCCTTATTACGTGTTGCCTACATCTTGGCGCAATATTTTTAATAGATGCGTTTTAATCATCCGCTTCTGCTTCGGAATTGTCGGTTTTCTTGTTTTAATCTGACAGGTTAAAACGACTAAACCGACAATTCCGGAAGCAGAAGCGGATGATTAAAACGCACCTGATATTTTGCTTGCTGCTGTCAGTGTCAGTGAATAATAGAGAGTTATTGCAAGTTCACTTAAGGTCAGTCACTATTAGTGCCGCTCTTATTTTGACATCTGAACATGCGCAGATCACTAACTTTAATAAAGATTGTGCCTATCCTTAATAGAGAGATATTGCAAATTTCTATAAAGCCAGCCACTAATAGTGACATCGTAATTAGAGTCAAATAAATAATATAATAGTACCTAATATTAAAGAGGCATTATAAATTATAATTGTAGAAGGTTTAAATGACGAGCGCATCCGAAAGCTATAAAGTCGCCACTACCTGCTGCCCTTAAACATCCACAATTAAGGACAGGCACAATCCGTAATAGTCAGTTTTAGAAAATAAACATCTGCGCATGCTTAGATGTCAAAATAAGAGCGGCACTAATAGTGACTGACCCTAAGTGAACTTGCAATAACTCTCTTTTGAGGACAGGCACAATCTTTGTTAAAGTTAGTGATCTACGCATGCTCAGATGTCAAAATAAGAGCGGCACTAATAGTGACTGACCTTAAGTGAACTTGCAATAACTCTCTATTATTTTTGAAGTCACAGTTTATTGCTAAAGAATCAGTTAGCTCACTCGGACCAGTTGAAAGTTCCAAAATAACATCCACTCCAGGGGTACAAATTCAGGATACGCAGAAGACTGCTGTTTTATTACAGGCGGTTGTCATATATTGTATTATTCGAGTTGCACAGTGTATAAACTGAAACATTGAGATCAAAAGTGCCGACGCAGAGTGAGCGATTTGATTCTTTAGCTGTAAACTGTGTCACAGGGTTCAAAATGGCCGCGCCCTATGTTGAGCATATCGGACCTCTCTCTTGCCTCGTATAGTAATCAAAGTATGTGACCAAAACTGACTAGCTTCACTTTCTCGATTTTGACATATGACGTAAAAGTGCAATGTAAAGGTGCAGACACTTTAGCATCTCTTTATTCTATCTCAATTGTCTGAATAAACGTAAATTTATTTTCCCTGAGAATCCTATATTTATGTGTTGTGTGAATTGCGTGTGAATGGCGTGTGAATGGCGTGTGAAGCGGTTATTCGCTTCACACGTCTATTCCATCGAAATTTGTGTGAAGTCGAGAATATAGGAGCTCTAGTTATTTTAAAACGAAAACCAGAATCTATTGTTTTATCTTCACGCGGTATGTATTCAATTTAGTCTACAACTTTTGCAATTGTAGTTCAAAGTGTACCAATTGCATTTCCAAATAGTCATTTTAATATCGAAAAGCATCATTTGAATTTCCAAATTACTACTTGAATTTCATAGAGTACTATTTGTACTTCAAAAAGCGTAAAGTTAATTTCAAAAGATATCAATTATATTTCAAATTTGTAATTTTATTTCCAAAAGGATCAAATGTATTTTGAATGAATCAAATTAATTTCAAAAATTAACATTTCAATTTCCATAATAGTAATTTGTATTTCAAAATATATCAAATGTATTTCATAAAGAATCATTTGAATTTCAAATAAATTGCACACAAAGGTTTGTATCCTACTCTGATAAGAATAATAAGTTAATGATAATATATTTTTTAATCAACCTGTTGGACTCTTTCGGCTTCTGTCAGTTTGACATAATGTTAATACATCTACAGTGATAACGTACAGGTACAGAAGAGAGGAACAATATAGAAAAGAAACATAGGGCTAAAGGGTCCTATGATTGAACGTTTACGTTATCCGTAACGTACATGTTAGACCGAATTTTAAAAGTAACGAAGCAAGTTCGTATGATGGAAACCTGTTAAATTAGAACATAACAGGCGGAAAATAACAGTAATGTGTTGGAAAAAGTTTTCCATCTTACGTTGCCTCCTCATAACTGTTAAAATTCGGCCTAACATGTACGTTACGCATAACGTAAACGTTCAATCATATGACCCATTTAGTTCCACCCTTAGATAAAAGAGACCGAAGATGTAACATTGCACACTGCGCATGTTGTCTGTTTTAACTCCAAGTAACCCACCAATTGAAAATCATTGTTTGCACGACGCCACCCGAATTGCTCCGATTTCCCATTCAACGCTCACCTCCGCCTGAGTTTCAATCACCATTGACAGCTGTTTTTGATTTATTTGATGGTGTTTTAGCAATTTAAAGTGTTCTAGTTATTCAATTTTAAACTCAAAATGCCACGATGTATCTTAAGAAATTGTATATACTTATAATACAAGTACCAGTGTTATGAAATATAAAAAATATATTCGTTTTCAGCGGTAAATATTTATAAACGTTTTGACATAAAGCGCCATAATCCTTTGAGCTGAATACAGCAGATCCGCATTAAGGGATTTCAATAAATATTCATCAAATACATTTCAGAAAACAGATTTCGTATTACTTACATAAATTTACAAAAGCGAAAAATTTAAAATATTTAATTTAAATAAGAAGTAAATAGACATTGTTGCTAACGAAATTTTGTTTTTAAAAAGTAGTTTTATAAGAATATTTACTAAAGGTGGTTTTTAGCTCTTTTTGGTAGATAAATAACAAGTAAAGAAGCATATTTGATTAGTAGTATTTTTATAAGAATATTAGATAAAATACAGGATGAATAACTTAACATTTCAAGATAATGTAATAATCGATTTTAAAGGAAATACAAAAATAAAGTAGTTTTATTCAAAATAATCGATTAATTGAAAATAATCGATTTTTATGGAAAAATCGATTTATCGTTTAATCGATTATTTTCGATTAATCGATTATTTTCGATTAATCGATTATTTTCGATTAATCGATTATTTTCGATTAATCGATTATTTTCAAAGGTATTATATGAAAATAATTGATTGATCGTATATAATTCGTTATTTTATATAACCAATATTTCGGTTATTTTTTAAAAATATCGATTTATCGGTTAATCAGTTTTTTAATATTTATTAATTATTTTTGATTTATTGATTTTTATCGATTATTTTAGATTTTTCAAAGATAATAGAATAATCAATTTTAAAGGAAATATGAAAAGGATTATTAGAAAATAATCGATAATTCGGTTATTTTTTGGAAAATAGATTTATCGTAGAATCGGCTTCTTAATTAATCGATTATTTTCGGTATTTCAATGATAATCGAATTATCGATTTTAAATGAAATACAATAAAATAATCGATTATTTAAAATAATCGACAATTCGGTTTTTTTTTTGAAAATCGATTTATCAGTTAATCGACTTTTTAATTAATCGATTATTTTTGATTTTTCAAAGATAATCAAGTAGTCTATTTTAAAGGAAATACGAAAAACATATAGATTGAAAACAATGGATTGATCGAAAATAATCGATTATTTTCAATGATCGATTAATTATTTCGACAATCACTCATCCTCTATATTAATTAATATTCCTAAAGAAAGAAGCTGAGGTTACAATACAAAACAGCATTTTCTCATTTTGACTAATTTTTAATATTATGTAATAGCCGTAGAAAAAATATAATGTTTGACTCAAAAGGTTTGATTTGCAGTATTCGCCTGCGCACATGCTTTTTTATAATACTCGTAGACGAGTACCATTTCTTGCTCTATTAACAATATTCTATTTCAAAATTTTACTGTAGTATCTTGCTGAAAAGTCCGTAGTAAATAAACGCTAACGAAATATTCTATAAAAAGTCTTCTTTTTACATAAAATGCTGTGCATCTGTTTGATATTAAAAAATCACGTTAATTTTATTTCATGATACAAAATTCCATTAAACATATATTTTAAATAAATCTAATAGTTCATTATGATGCTAATAAACAAAGTCCGGTCCCTGCCACAGAGTTCGGGTCGCCGCGTGTCGTCGCCCAGTTCCCCCACTCCGTTAACCTTTCTTTAGAAATTGGCAACATTTGCGCAGGTTAAACACCGGTGTATGTTATATCTCTGGTCTCTTTTATCTAAGGTTCCACCACAGATATACTCTGAGAAAACGTACCTATTCACAGTACACTTAGCTCTGTGGTGTAGTGTGAATCAAATGGAATTTTTTGGAAAATATATGACAAATTTAAAATATATATGACACATTTTGAAATTAAATTGATAAATTCGAAATATATTTAAAACTGTTTTAAATAAAATTGACTAATTTGAAAAACAATTGAGGCATTTTAAATTTGAATTGATAATTTCAAAATACATTAGATACTTTTCTTAAATCAAATTGACTAATTTGAAATGCAACTGATACTTTTCGATATTAACCTGACGCTTTTTGAAATGCAATTGAAGAAGGTGTAGACTAGACTGATTTTTTTGGTTCGCATTCGGATTCAATGGGTGAGATCGGTCGGCGTCGCGAAGAATAGTGAAATTGCCAACGCCCTATTTTTGCTTTCTCCCTTTTATTCTCGCTTCATATTAATACTCTTCTTTCTGTTGTTCTTTATAATTTTGCTCTATACCCAACGAAAATTTAAGTCGAACCGAAGACATGATGCGGATTTACTATTCTTATATAACTTGTTAAATAGTGTAATAGATTGTTTGGAACTGCTTACATTATTTCACTTTAATGCTGGATCAAGAACTAGGAATAGACCATTGTTATATGAAAACAGGTATTTAACAAATAACGATCATCATAATCCACTAACACGTTTTTATTTCATAAATTAAATAGCCTGTCGTGTCCAAATGATGTATTATTTTTCAATTAATTTAGAACGCTTAAAAGAATATTATAGTTAGATGAAAGGTTTGTACGTGTACTATTTTTGAATTCTCTATGTAAACTACTTAAATGTACCAGTGTAATTTGATTATTTTGATATGAAATAGATTTACCGTTATTTTTTTTTTATAACTAATTACTTACCAAAAGCACCTTCTCCCAATTCGTCAACGAATCTAACTTCCTTAAATGTGTATTGAGGTACAGACTGGATGCTGTGCTTGTTAGAATTGTGATGGTTCCGATGTGGTGGAAGATGCGGAGGCAACAACGAATTCATTTCCATAGGCGCACTCGGTCCTGGACTTCCGTATATATTTTTGCTTACTTGCGGCAAATCCTTCTAACCAGAAAAAAAATACATAAGGATTATAATACAGAAAAGACAATAAAATATAATAAATTTGTTATTTTATTATACAGGTTTGGAAATTATAAATTACTACCAATTATCTACCTAGTTGAATCATTTAATGAAGAATTATGTTCAACGAACTGAAATCTATTCATGTGAACTTTAATGGTAAAAAAAGCAGAATCACTCTCTAAATATGCATATAACGGACAGAGGCCGCTGTCGGTCGTAGTGCATCAACGTATCTTTGTGTTACGTGCATATTTCTATTATACCTTGTTTAATTCACTTTAAGGTAAATCCAAAGTGTAAGAATAATAAGACTTAAATTTGAGAGAAACAGGACTGCTGTCCAATTTAAATTTATGAAAATTTTAATTTTTAACTTTCTTATATTATTTTATTTATCTTTGTTAAAGAGAATATACTTAATTCCTCAACAATAAAGAAATTTTGGGTCGACTTATAGGAACATCAGAGGATTCCGCATTATATAATATTAAAATATTATTTATATTGGATTACTTACATTTTGTAAATTTCTTGTAAGTTTATTTCTTCTATTACAGTAACAGTATGCGAAAAGAATTACAACTGCGATAAGAGTTACTATCAAACCGCCGATATATAGTCCGTAAACGTACACTGAAAAAAAAAATACATATTAAATAATAATAATAATAATAATAATATTCGTTTTGTTTAATAAACCTACCGCATTTATTTACGCCACAAACTTCTCTCTGATTTTGTTCGACGTAACAAAATGGTTCTCTTTCAGTTTCTTTGGGATTTCTAAAATCAAATATTCAACTAATGTGGTTGCTTTGTAAAGCGGGAAAAAATTATTATTTTTTTTAAAAATCTACGCCATCATTTTAGAAAAGATATTTATGAAATACCCGGTATATATAGTAATAATAATAAAAAAAACGAAGGTTACCTGCAATAATTGTGGCCGGCAAGTTCAGGATTATCGGAAGTAGGAACGTGAAATTGATGCGCCCATCTAATACAGGGCATGCCGGAGGAAGATTTATCTTGAGTACCGCGGTACTGTTTTCCAGTGTCCCAATAGCAGGTTTCATCTAGAGAATAAGAGTATTTTATTTTACAATATTAATCGCTTAATTTTCTATCAACCTCTCAAACGTACATGCAATTTTTTGTTTCCCAAATTTTTCAGTTTTTGGGTCGAAAACATTTCCGGAAAAACTGCTTAAAAGTTTTTGTTTCATTCATGGTAACTAATTTATCGGTATAGTCGCTCTATTATACCCCTATCTTCAAATTTTCAGGAACCAGTTTTTAAGCAGCATTTCCCCTAACGTAGGAAATGCCGTAGCAGATTTATTTAGTTATATGTGTGAAAGATTTGAATTTATTTAGTACAATTTTGAGCTCAAAAAGTTTTAATTGAATTTGATATAGTAGGATAGTAATATATCTGTTAGGAGAATGGGATAAAAGAAATTCCCACATAACATCAATGTTCTATGAATATACCAAGAACGTTCTGTTTAAGTTCTTTTTAGTATATCCTTTTAGAATGTTCTTAGAACATACCTAGAATATACTTTGAAAGTATATTCTAGAAAGTATATACTGAGTACGTGCCTTAAAAGTATATTCCAAAAAGTATATACTAAGCACGTGCTATAACAGGACAATCCTAGAAGATACTAAAAGTCATATACCCAGCATGTACCTCATATTCTGAGAATGTTCTAAATGCTTGCAGGTAAAAACACCAAATACATATAAAAACAAGTTTATATGCATATCTATATGAATTTTTCCCAGATGCCGATCTAATAATTCGCTACCAAACGCACTAATGTTGAATGTTTATACCAAAAAACATTCTCAAACTAAAATAGAAGAAAAGAAGAAGAATGACATAACCTACAATTATTCCTACAAATTTTTTTGTTATCGTTTGTTGTAAGAGGTAAGTCAATTATTAAAAATTAATTGCATCGTATGTACTATATGAAAATAAACAAATTTTACTATATTTATAGTTTTTAGGACCTATAAGTGACGTTAGAATACAGAATATTCCAAATATTAATTGCCAGTGTGAATTTATTAATATAGTTAATTATTACTAATGGTGGATTGAAACTAAAATACAGTGTTACCAGAATTACATACACACTTTCTATAAAAAAATCCTGTAAGGCAGATATTGACCTGGAAGAACTAGAAAAGTTAGCTAAAGGAGGACGAAAACTACAAAATGGTGGTAAGTAATTAACAAAAATATATTTAAACTTTCAGTAAACATCAATCATTTATGTAACTCTTGTTTTTGTTAGTGGGATGCCATGTACAATTTTTAATGTTTTATGTTGTACAAAAATATTTAAAATATCCCATTAGCTATGTATACTTAATTTGTATATGTACCAAGTTTGTTAATTTTTTTTATTTTTTAGGTTCAATGAAGATCCAATGGAATCAAGCAAATGAAACTCAAGCCATTGATACAATAAAATATTGATTGGTTAAGGCCAAAGATAGTATTTGTAATAAAAATAAGTATGAATTCTTTGAAATAAAGACTCATTATACCTATAGACTTATTCTTTAATGTTCAATATTAATTAAACATTAAACATTAAGGTGTCTAGTATATGCCTAGCATATGCTATATTTAAATACTTAGCATATACTTAGAACGTAATATTAAATTAAAGTAGATACCTGTTGCATACTGTACACATACTTGAAGTACATTCTCAGTATCTGCATAGCACGTATTAACAACGTCACGTAGCATATTCTGAGAATGTACCAAATGCAAATACAGTATATTCTCAGCATATGCGTATTCTTAAAAAGTATATACTAAGAATATGCTAAGAATGTATAATTGTTATCTGGGAAGACATTTATTTTTCCAAAAATAAAAAATTCCAGAATTTACAATGAAACTCGATAAAAAGTATTTGCGAGGTCAAATTTAGATAATACTTTAGGTAAGAAACATGTTATAACAGTTTATATATTATATGTCATTCACATTTATTTTAAAACAGACTTGACTATGAACGTTTGACACATTTTAGTATGTATAATATTCTTTTTTGTACACCCACATGGATATAAGCTAATATATACACAGACTAAAAAATGAAAAAGTATGCTATTTCGTTTAACTGAACTAATATATTTCATATCCATTCTAGGTAGTGAGAACATTGCATTTTTAAAATTTTAAATAAGTAACAATTCTGTCAAACAAATTGTCAGTTTTTAGTTATTGAGATTAAATATACTTTAAAATGAGTTATTTTTGTGTAGAATCAATAAATAGTGTCATTAATATTTTTTAGTCCACATTTTTGAAAAATCTTAAATTTGATTTAAAATTAGGAAACTAATTTAATTACGAGTATTAAAACTAAAATCATAAAAGTAGTGGTGGAGATGAGGAAAGAACGTCTACCTTTCACGCGAAAAGCCCGGGATCGAATCTGTGCTGGGAACTAATTAAATTAAATGTTATTTTGTTCATTTTATATCGTTAAAAGAATAATGCATGTTTGATAGTGTTAATTTTCTATTAAAAGTTGCCTTTTTTAGAAAATTTAATAAACTTTATTTATTTTTGACGAACAGGGCAATTTTTTTAAAAAAAATATGCTAACCCAGGGCTAGTGTCACTTATTCTCTTTGTACATAAAAAAATATTGTAATATCTTTAAAATTGTGTCTTCTAGGATTAAAACAGGATGCCTATTATTAATACAAATTTCTTGCTATTGTCAATGGAGCAATCTCTTAAAAAAAATAGAGCAAAAAAATCTGAAGAAGAATTATCCAGTTCAAACAAACGCATCGAATGATGTATCGCTTTTTTCACAGAAAAAAATTATAAAAAATACGTTTTAAAAATTTCTCTGTTGCATGGTGTCGGAAAATTTGAAATTTTCCTACGATATAGTGATTTTTTTTTAGTTATTTTACTATAAAGTATAAAGGAGTTTTCCAAAAAAACAAATTAAAAAATAGCTATAATAGTGTAGCTATGGTGCATCTGGCGAAAAATTTGTATATAAATTTTAAACGATATGCGTTTGTTCACGTAGGTATATGTATACGAGGGACATTCTAAAACTTCAACTGGCATGTGGCATGATAGATGACATGATAGGTGACGTGACCATCTACGATAACAAAAAAGGAATTGTAGTTAGGTGAAGGGGAGCTGTTTTAGTTGACATATGACGTATTTGACACAGATGACGATATGCATTGGTATTCTCATCTTTCAATTCGACACGTGTTGAGACGACTATCTTCGTTCCACAGAATGCAATTCGTATGTAATGTCTCTCTCTATTCAATTCGTACGCACATAAAAATCCCTGTCCTGGTCTATTGAGGGCATTATGACATGGGGTAATAATTAGTACTACTATTTGAGTTCATAGATGACGTAGCATGACAGATGATAGGTAACAAAACATGCGCAGTAGTATCGGTACTAAACAAGATAATTAAGCATTCCAAACAAAATGGTTGCAAGTGGGTAATGACAAGTTATGATATGGCAAACCTGTGCGCCTGGTAATTTGAAAGGGTCAATGATATAGATAGTTATAGATTGAGCATCCATATTTGTTAAAATTAACATAAGCTTATGCCTTGAAGTAAAAATGTAAGTAATTATTTTTTTAACTATATTCAAAGGCTAAAAAATGGTTTTAAAACACATTTTTGCTAAACTGATTCTGATTTATGAGCACTTGTGAGGCAATATGGTCGCTCGCAAATCGACCTGCTTTAAGCAGTCTCAGTCTATACAGGGTGTACCAATAAAAACTCCCAGGCCCGATATTTTGGTAAGTAATAGAGATATTTTAATTCTATAAAAGCCAGTTCATAGAGCGCCAAGAGAGCTTCAGTTTAAGATATTACTTAATTTTAAATAGGTCAATAGGTAGATGGCGCTGCGCTTAATATATTTTTTTCGATGGGAGGATCTTTCTTATTTAAAGCATCTTGTAAAAAATGCATTTTTAAGCAGATTTTGTTCTATAAACTAATTCTATAAATCTAGCCATTTTTGATATACAGAGTGGGTCACTCAAAATAGTTTCATCCTGTTTTTCGGTATTAATCATTGGATTTTTAGAAAATGCTAAAACAAGTCGATTTTTATTCCCAATTGAACACATTTTTACAATACAGACATCTGTCAACCCCCTCCCTTCTACTCCTCCAACCCCTTAATTTTAAATAAGGAATGTATCATGTACGGCACATCATTGAAAAGGTAATTTTATGGGCAAATCAGAAATATGACAGTTTATTGCGATATTTTTAATTTTAGCGCCCTCTATCGGGATAAAACACCTGTAATGTATTATAAATTGTTACACTTCATTTGAAAGCTAATTTAATTACTAATTCAATGCACCACATAACATTAATATAAATATTTTCATATTGAACTTACAAAAAAATAAAGTTAGCAATAATGTTTAAAATAATGCATGAATAATTTTCAAACTATTGCAAGTGCAATATGGAGGATATTTATATTAATGTTTTGTGGTGCATTGAATTAGTAAATAAATTTGCTTTCAAATAAGGTGTCACACTTTATAATACGTACAGTTTTTTTATCCCGATAGAGGGCGGTACAATTAAAAGTATCGCAATGAACAGTCACATTTCTAAATTCCCTATAAAATTACCTTTTTAATGATCTACTACAAATTGTAGTGTCACACTTTATAATACGTAGTAGTTTTTTATCCCGCTAGAGGGCGATAAAATTTAAGTAACGCAATATACAAAATATTTCTGAATTCTCTATTAAATTACCTTTTCAATGATGTGCCATACATGGTACATTACCTATTTAAAATTAAGGTGTTGGAGAAGTGCAAGGGAGGGGGTTGACACATGACAAATGTCTGTATTGTAAAAATGTTTTTAATTTAAAATAAAAATCGACCTGTTTTAGCATTTTCTTAAAATTCAATGATTAATTCTGAAGAACAGGATAAAACTTTTGAGTGACCCACCATCTATATTAAAAATGGCTAGATTTATCGAATTAATTTATAGAACAAAATCTGCTTTAAAATGCATTTTTTACAAGATGCGTTATATAAGAAAGATCCTCCCATCGAAAAAAATATATTGAGCGCAGCGCCATCTACATATTGACCTATTTAAAATTAATTTATGTCTAAAACTGAAGCTCTCTTAGCGGTCTATGAACTGGCATTTACAGAATTAAAATATCTCTATTACTTATCAAAATATCCGGCCTGGGAGTTTTTATTGGTACACCCTGTATATATGCATCCCTGATACTGTCAAAGACACCTGGACAGGGATTCTTATGTGCGTACCCAACACGTAACGAATTGAATAGAAAGAGACATTACATACGAATCACATTCTGTGGAACGAAGATAGTATTGAAAGATGAGAATCCCAATGTAGGTCTACAGGGTTGCCATATCCTAACCTGTCATTTCCCACGAGCAGCATTTTGACAGGTCGTTAGAATGCCTATTAATAGAACCAATCTTTCGTTGGACCCTTTTATCAGTGACATATGACGTGGCAGGTGATATGATACTCAACGTCTAAAAGGACTCTAACGTTTAATTTCGTTAATATTGAATTGATTGGAATGAGGTGAAGGGCGTTCAATGTTAAATGACAGATATAATAAATAACAAAACATTTACTTGCCTCTGTTAACATTTAGTTCTCCAACACCCAATGTCAGACAGTGCTTAGAACTGATATCATTTTCCGACGGCAATTGTTCGCACACCTCAAGTTCCATAATTTGACCTATAAAAAACCATTACAATAAAAAATATCGAAATACAGTCACCATGCCTTACTTATAACTAAATGTCTTTTCGCGATGCTGTACTCCTTGCTGCACAACTCGTTCTCTAGTAGCAAACACTCGTCCCTGCATATCCTCCGCAACGAATTGGTCAATTTGGTTCTAATGTTTTTGGATTTTTGTTTGTTATCGATGCTGCTCAATTCGCGTAGATGGTTGATTTGGTACTCGTCAATTTGATCGCGGTCCAGACACAGAGGAAAAGCGGAAAAGCAGACGCTCGGTTCCGCGAATTTGCTACAGATCGTCGATATGTCACTGAAAAAACGAAATGAATATGTGAAAGATTAGGGTTGTATGCAATCGTGAAAATTTCTTTTGTCCACGACAGTTTTAAAATGTACGCACTTTTATTAGTTTTTTCATTAAAATGCTATAATATGTTCTATAAGAGGTAAATAAACATTAGTTACTAATTTTTATCACCACTAATGTTATACAGGGTATTTCAGATTTAAACTTCGCAAATTCAGATGAAGAGGCCATTGAAAGAATTGAGGAAGCTAGACGTATTCAAAAACTAAGTGGGTTTGATGTAGTCAATTGGATATCAAGCTCCAAACAAATTATGAATACCTTGTCAGCTGACTTCACCTGCAAAAATATTAATCTAGATTCCAACGAATTTGCAATCCAACGAGTATTAGGAATCTCATGGGATGGATGCGAAATCAGATATCTTGTGTTTTAAATTGCATTTGGAAGGACTAACAGAGAGTAATAGTCAGCATCATAGATCAACCAAACGATAAGTTTTAAAGTTTTTTAACCCGCTTGGACTGATTTCAAACCTGACAATCAAAGCCAAGATTTGAGGCCAGGATATCTGGAGATGCAAAATTGGATGGGATGATGCTCTTGATGAAGAACTTTACCAATATTGGACATTATGGATCAGGGATTTGAACAAGGTTGGAAATGTAAGAGTTCCCAGGTGCGCTGGTAAAAATATATCTGACGCTGACAGAGTGGAACTTCACATTTTCTGTGACGCCAGTAAAAAGGCATTTGCTAGTGTAGTATATCTTAGTTATTAGCTTGGACACTATTGAAGTATCACTAGTTTTGCCAAAAGCTCGAGTTGGGCCAATTAAGCTAATCTCTATTCCAAGAATGGAGCTCCAAGCAAGTCTGCTAGGAAGTAGGTTGATGAAGACAATACTCAATACACTTGACATTAAAATCGACAAAGTTTATGTAAGGGAGATGGAAGTAAATTGGGACAATTCGAGGAACTTAGAATTGGGGAGATCTAAGAGTCTACCGAAGCGTGTGACTGCCATATTGGATACCCTCCAAACTCAATTCTGCTGATCAGGCTAGCAGAACATACGCAAGGGAAAATAGTGATCTTAACATACTCAACTTTCACGGTTGGTACAGAGATCCTGAATTCTTATATTTTAGACACGAAAGTGATTGGCCAATTGACAAAAAGTTTGAGTATTCAAAACCACCAGAAAGTCCTATGGAAATCCTAACAGTCATAATAGACAATGATTCTGATGCAAGTAAGCCAAAAATCGATAGATTTTCGAATTGGCTAAGGTTACTCTGGTCAACAGCGTGGGTGATACGATTTGCCAAAAACCTTTTGATTCGGATTGGAAACAAAGCAGTTTAAGCATGTTTAAGTGTACGTGCTATCCATCTTGAAGTAGCTCACTCGTTAACGTCAGATTCTTGCATTTTGGCAATAAGAAGAATGGCTTCCAGAAGAGGACAACCATTAAAAATGTATTCAGATAATGGTACTAACTTTATTGGAGCTTCAGAGAAACTGAAAAGGGCCTTAAACGACTTGAACAATAATAATATTAGGAACGAGTTACTGGAAAAAGGCACAAAATGGAAATTTTTACCACCAATAACGGCACACATGGCTGGAGTCTGGGAAAGGCTAGTGCGATCTGTAAAAACAACATTTAGAGTCATTTTAAATAAACATGTTCTAAAGGATGAACTTCTGATACTATTCACAGAATATGAAAATATGATTAACAGCAGACCTATCACTAAGGTGTCAACAGACCCAAATGACCTAGAATCTCTCACTCCCAACCATTTCCTCACAGGCACACTGAGCAACGTAACACCTTTTAGTCATTTAACAGACGAAAACCTACGAAGGTCCAAGCATACAAAAATCAATTGTGGAAACGATGGACACATGAATACTTGCCAAGTCTAACGAAACGACCAAATGGACTCAAGATGGAAGACCCCTCAATAAAGATGATATTGTAAAACTAGTTGATGAAAATTCACCACGACAGAACTGGAAATTGAGAAGGGTTGAAAAAGTTTTTAGAGCTCCAGATGGTAAAGTCCGGAACATAGAAAAGGCCTGTATCAAAATTATGCCGAATAGATGTTGAATCTTCAACGTGAGCGAAACAGATAATTTCGTCACGGGGGGAGAATGTTGAGTCTTATTGTATTTTATTTCTGTCTCCTTTTTTTGTTGTTATATTAATTGCTGAAAACTCAATTTAGTCAACTGTCAATATGCGCCATATTGCACCATCACTCATTCCGTTCTAAACATGATTAATGTAAAATTGTATAATACCAGTAGGCTTGTGTAAGTGTAAGTTTCTAATAGTATGAAAATAAGTATTTCAGGATGCCGTTTCAATTTAGTAATGAAGAATATGCAGACATTATTTGTGTTCGGTTTTTGTAACGGAAACGGTAGAGCAGCAGTAAGAGAGTATCGCAGACGCTTTCCTAATCGCCGTTTACCAAACTCTAAAATATTTTTACAGGTTTTCGAATTCAGTAAGCAACATGTCGAGAAATAATCTTCGACAAGAAGAGGAGATTAATTCTTCTAACAGTTTAAGAAGAATTAGTAATGAATTAGCAGTACCGATAACAAGAGTATGGAAAACTTTAAAAAAAGAATATTTGCATTTATATCATGTACAATCTCAATTTACACGTGATGGGATCAATAATACTAGGAATGGTCATATTTAGGCAACTGAAAATCCTCACACTGTATCACAAAAACATTCCCAATATAGATTTTCTATAAATGTATGGTGTGGTATTTATAAAAATCATTTAATAGGCCCTCATGTTTTCGAAGGCAGATTAACAGCTGAAGTTTATTTAAATTTCCTGACAATTTTGTTAGAAGGGATTAATACCAGAGGAATGTGGTTTCAACACGATGGTGCTGGACCTAATTTGCAAATACTGATCAGAGATCATTTAACTCATCGTTTCCCAAATAGATGGACAAGTCGAAGCGGTTCCGTTAATTGGCTACCAAGATCTCCAAATCTAACACATCTGGATTATTTTTTATGGGGCTACCTTAAATCAGAGGTGTACAACGAAGAAGTGAGCACAGTTATTGGAAAAAATTAATAATGTATCTAACAACACTAGAAATAAACCGGAAATAATTGGCAAATCAGTGAAAAACCTGTTAAAACGTTCACGGTGTTCATTTTGAAAATCTACTTTAGTTTTAATTAATTATTTGTTTCTGATTGTTATGTTACTTTATCAAATAAAGTAAGCCCGGTCCTGTGTAGATGTTCAATTTCTTATTGGAAAATGCAGTAGTTAAAAATAAATGTAGAAGGTACCTAATTTGTGTAGAGTTTTAAAAATCTGAAGGAAAATATTTTATTTCAATTTTGTAAATACTAATTTATAATATTGTAGTCGCTATTATAAAAATTTACTGTAAGAAAATCAAGATGGTGCCATTAAATATTATTAAATTATTTTATTTATTGATCTACGTACTATTTAAATGTGCAGTAACATTTATTAAAATCCGATATACGGGGTGATATTCTAGCTAAGAAGAGAAATATAAAAAAAAAGAGAGACCGGTCCTGAAATTTTTAAAATTAAATTATAACTTTGATTAACTAAGAGAGTGTAACTTTTGTACAACCTTTTATCAAAATATCTCTAGCCGTTCAAACAAAATGGCCGACTTTAGTTTTGGCAAAAAATTATAAAACATCCTATATCTCAGAAACGAGTGAGATTAAAAGCTAAGTATGGGAGTGTTTTGAATTCTGCTAAGTGAATTAAGCTGTGACCGTTTAAATATGAAACACCCTGTATAGCCACGGCTGTTAGAAGTGAAAGAAACTGCCTAAGTTTGATTATAAATAAATAAGTAAAATAAATCTTACTTTGATTGCGAAATAACCAAAAACGCGGCGTCCAGTTTGTCTTCGACTTCCTTCTGCGAATACGGGGGCTGTACGAAAACATATTTTCCAGCCAAGTGCCGTCTGCAACGTTGACCGGTGTACATCTGGCACAGCGGTTCCGAACTGTTGTACGTTTTCGGGACGTTCTCCGTCAGTTTTCCGTTAGAATCCAAATCGAATTGTATCGGCGTGGAAAAGGTTTTCGACTTGGCGCCCATTGTCGTTAGAAAGACGCCCTCGTTGGATTTTGAGATGTCTTTCGGCAAGAATGTGGTCATTTCTCCAAAACTGCCATAAACAATTTTTAATTTTATTATTTTTAGTAACCATTTATAAATAGTTTGTGCAGCAAGTGAGAAAAACGACACTTTCCTCACGAGCGCGGAGAAATTGTAGCACCAGCTGTTAGGCCAGTGTCACAACTCGAGTACATGTTGCACACTTTATTTTTCTATGACTGTTTATTATTTGTTAAATGTGCATTTTAAGACAAAACACTATTTTTTTATATATAATATTTTTAAACGATATTAAGAAAATTTAAAATTAAATCGTAATATAAAAAATAAAGTAGAAATGGAAACAAAAAGGGCATCAGGGTCGAGTACCGAACCACAAGATCTAATAATATTTTGTGATCTCAGCTGGGCATTCGACTGCGCCAATCAAAGAGCTTATACGAAATAAATTTTATATACATGGAATAGAGGGAATTGTCAATAACTGAATTCAAGATTTTATGGTTAATTGAATACGATATGTAGTTGTCGAAAATCATTCATCGGAACAAGTGATGTTCCACAGGGCTCCATTTTGAACCCTATACTTTTTTACTTTGTTTATCAACGAGTTGGATAACAGTCAAAGTAAAAGGTAAAGTGTTCTAGGTAGGTATTTTGAGGAAAGCCGTTAGATATGCTATTTTTCAAAGGACCAGAAATTAATAATTTCATGTAAGTTAAGAAAATGAAACTTTGTATAACAATCGAAAAAAATATATTTACCTGTCTAAATCTGGATGATCAGTTTTCTGTGGGTTAAGTACGGCATTTCCTGAAAAAAGTTAAAATTAGGTAAATCGAAGCTTTTCAAGTGAATATGATGGATCCACCCTATCTTTTGACTTACCATATTTATGTGCTTCCGGATTTATTTCCAAAAACGCTATAGACCTTATTTTTTCTACACCATTACTCGCTATACATTCGACAAATCCTCTATCAAAATATTCTAATTTATTTACTCGTAAAATTGACGAATAAACGTTGTCTTTGACCTAAAACATAAAACCGTACCATATATTTTGACTCTTAACAATAAACTGCATCAAAAAATTGTATTAATAAATAATTGTATTAATAAATTGCATTAATAAACTATAATAACAAATTGTAATAATAAAATTGTATTAATAAATTTTAATAATAAATTGTATTAATAAATTGTATTAATATACTGTAACAATAAATTGTATTAATAAAATTGTATTAATAAAATTGTATTAATAAATTGTATTAATAAATTGTATTAATAAATTGTATTAATAAATTGTATTAATAAATTGTATTAATAAATTGTATTAATAAATTGTATTAATAAATTGTATTAACACATTGTATTAATAAAGCATGGGCGCCGCCAGAATTTTTTCTAGAAGGGGTAAAAATACAATTATTTGAACCCAACCTTAAGAGCAGACATTCCTAATAGATAATTTGGTCTCATCACCCTCTCAGAGGTAGAGTTTTTGGTACATTTTTTTGGTGGTCCTCCATCGTAAAAATATTCAGTATCCATCTAGAATACTTTTAAATTACATAGTTAATAGTGCAGAAAAACTACCCTAGGAAATAACCTAGACCCACAAATTCTAAAAATGCAACTGTTCCCATTTTTTTTCCAACAGGCGGCGCCCAAGAAATTGTCTAGTACTTTATATCTTTTCGATTTTATATAGTTTTTTTTTGTAATAATTTATGCGACGTAAATCTTAATGGATACCTTAGTTTTAATTTTGAATCGTTCCTTGTCATCGATATGTACTTCGTTATGTCTCCAATTAAAAGCCACTTTGGAGTGATTCGTTTCCAGTGATTTTACTTCGCATAAAAATTTCGCCTGCTTTCCGCCATCCCGCGTGATGTTTGACAATTCTGTGATGAAACTAAGTGAACCTATAAAGAACAATTATTCATAAAAGTGATTTCAAGATAAAAAAAAAATATCTACAATTTTTAAGACCAATTTTATTGCAGTATGGTATTAATTACCGAGGGGTAAACCACTAAGGTAAAAACTTACCCATTTTTTGAAAATCACCTAAAATTGATTTTATACAATGACTTTTTTTTGGACTCGTCCCTTTTGTTTTGATCCACAAGCTGCTGCTATTTTGAGCAACGAATTATTTTCGAAATGATTTTCGATGAATGATTTCGAAAATTTCGAGAAAATCACTACAAATTCTCTCAAAATTTCCAAAATAATCACTTAAATCCCGGAATCATCATCGAAAATCATAGCAGAAATGATCTCCGAAATCATTTGGAAATCAATTGTTCGTTCCGAAATATGAATGCAGCAGGTATAATGGACAAAAAAAAACAGAGAAAGAGCCCTCCAAAAAAAAGGTCGAACAAACAAAAAGGTCATTTGAATATCCAAGAAGAATTTTATCGATAATTCATAGGAAATTATACATAATGATTTCTCCGAAATCGTATAAGATTAAGGGGAACTTCGCAGCAATCACCGAAATCGTATAAAATTAAGATAGAATCATGGATGATTTCGCGAAATCATACGAATTTTTGAAAATTTTTGGAGATTTTCGAAATACGGGTACGTTTTGGCCTTAGTGGTTTACCCCTCAAGTATTACATTTTGCAATTCATTGCAAAAAGGTATGAGGAACACTGCAATTGTCGTGACGTTTGACGTTTTTGAACTTATAATTCAGTTGACAGTACATGAAATGTACTGTGAAATGTAGAGATACGTGAAATGTTTTTACCTTACTTAAATCTTGTCAGATTAGACAGCAATGTGTTTAAATAGACAAAGCGACACGTTCAAATCTAACGGTAAAATTGTGGAATATCACAAGGCATTTGGATAAAAAGCTATGGAGAAAGCTAATCGGTTATTCTTTCAGACTCGAAATCTGTTTTTCTTTTAATTTCTAACTATTCCTGCAATATTAACAAAAATCCTATTATAAGAGAAATTATTCAGTTTCTCCAATCTCTTCATAATTCTAAAATCAAGATCGTTTTCATCTGGGTTAAAAGTCATAAAGGGATAGTTGGAAATGAAAAAGTCGATTTAGCTGCTAAATAATCCATTTTTCTGCCAACTATTAATAATATTCATTCTCCGCAGGATATTATTCATGCAATGAAACGAAATGTTAGACCAAGCTAGGAGAAACTATGGGAACATTTTGTTTCTCATTCAAATAACCCATATACATTTATTCACCCTGTTCTTCCAAAATCTATTCTCACATAACAAATTTTAAAATGTCTAGGAATTATTGTACGACTCTAACAAGGATGAAACTAAATCATGTGGGTGTTCCGTCCCACCTTTCCAGAATTGGTATTAATATATCACCTTTCCGTCAATGCGACAATTCTTTTGCTGATATCAACCACCTCAATTTTTCTTGTAGCCACCATAATTCTCATCGTTCAGATTTTCTTAAAAAACTTTCTTCCCTAAATATCCCTTTTTCATCAGTATTTCTATTTTATTAAGTTCATTTGATGAGAAAATTTATAACTTAATTATTGAATTTTTAAAGAAAATATTAAAATATAGATAAATAATTATTAGGTTTACAAAAGTCTGTGGCAAAAAAAACTACGTTTAGATGCCAATTTTGAAAAAAAGGCACCGTATAGGGGTCCAATACTCCAATGTTATATACACAATCAAACTTACATGGGTTCACCCAGTATTATACAGAAACATTTTTTTATTAAAAAAAATTCACTTGCAAATAAAATAATTGTTTTTAATGGTTAAAATTGTTTAGTTCGTAAAAAGATAATATCATTATTATTTGTCGCGGCGCTAATTCTATGAATTCTATTATTTTAGAAGTAACATCGCAAAATTTTGTTAATTGTAATTAAAAAAAAAATTAAAAAAAAGTCTTATGAAGGATTATCAGATGTGCAGAGTGGAAGGATAATTGGTTTAATAAAAACATTGATAAAAGAGATGGAAAAGAAGATAGAATTAAACTGGAACATACAGAACAGGCCAAGGACGGTGAAATAAAGTGCCATGAAGTGGAGTCAAAGTTAAAATTGGAAGGACCTGTAAACTCTGCTCGTGTTAAAGCCCCAACTTTCGACGGGAAGATGTCATAGACCAATTACCTTAAACAGTTCGAAACAGCTGCCAGAATACACGAATGATCTGACCGAAAAAAGGCAATAAATCTGTCCATCGCCCTTCGAGATGTCCTTCAGACTATACCCGTAGAAGAGACAGATGATTTTAAAGAACTTAAAAAGAGACTAAACATGGGATATGGCTACGAACACTTGGAGTAGGTGTACCGATTACAGTTAAAGAATACAAAGAACACCCCATTTAGCTTGTCACAAAACATTGGTCGATGTCTTGTCCGCTGCTCTTGAATATTAAGCGGCTACGCTGGCCTCTGGTGCATACACTGAAGAGGAAAAATAGGATAATAAATTCGACCAATTGTTTACCATAAAAATCCTTATTGAGAAGCAGCCGAAGACTATCAGGTGCTGGAATTGTGGTGAAATGGGAAATGTATATCGTGCCGGTAGCTGTACAAGAAGGAAAGGTTATACCTGATAGATTTGAAACCAAAGGACTAATTCGGTTGCAAGGAACTGTAGAGAAAGGAAGGCTTATCATTGTGGAACCTTCGAAGCGCAATGAGGGTGTTGGTCGAGGAACTCTGATTGGAAAAGGGTTGGCCACTAAAGAAGTGCAGTACGAAGAACAACGGTTGTCAACGACAAGTAAGCCCCTATCAAAATTAGGAAAGAACAACGTTTTAAAGAAGATGGAAAGAGGAAAATCGTCGACCTACTTGGCAAGAAGTATAAAAACTTTCTTCAGCAGTCATATTGGGCTCAGAGAGACATTTTGTCTCTTGTAAGAAAGCTTATTAAAGCGAGTACTCGAAAAATTATGGTAGTTCTAAAATCAGAAAACAGTTGGTCATTCCAAAAACTATAATAGTCAAAGCACTTCGCCAATTACACGACATTCCAGCAGGAGGACATCTCGGTGTTAAGAACACCCTTCAGAGAATTCGTGAAAGGTTTTATTAGATGAACAGTCCAATGATATAAAGGACTGGTGTAAGAAATGTACTATCTGTGCTATGAGTATTGGACCTTAATGGTAAAAGAAGACTCTCATGAAGCAATATAAGATCGGTAGCCCATTTGAAAGGATTGCCTTAGATATTGCTGGATCGTTCATCATGACCGAGAATGGTAATAAATACAGGATGTTGGCCGCAACCATTGCAAACATGTTAATAATTGAATTTATCAGTCGATTTGAAGTACCCTTAGAGATCCATAGTAAAATTTTAAAAGCCAGCTTTTCCGAGAAATCTGTGAGACAGTGGGATGGAATGGTAGAGCGAATAAATAAGACCATACCTGTCAAAAGTAGCGAGATTGGTAATGGTATATAGATCCACTGTTAATGAATCAAGAGGCCAAACACCAACAAAGGTCCTGTTTGGGCGTGAAATTAAACTACCGAGCCACCTCGAATTTGGATGCCGATCTAAAGAAGACATAGCTGGTGAGAAATGGACGACATGCATGAGTTGGTTCGCTCGCATCTTCAAATCGCCAGCGAAAGAATGAAAAAACGGTACGATACCCAAGCCAAAGAAGGATGTTTTAAGAAAGGTTTCAAAGTCAGATTCCATAATCCAAAAGACAGAAGGGTTATTCGCCAAAGCTCCAGAAGTTTTGAGAAGGTCCGTACCTCATTAAGAAACAAATGAATGATGTAATGTATCGTAAAAGCAATATCTTGAACGGTAAACCGAAGGTAGTGCACCAAAACCGGCTAGCGCCATTTGAGGTTGATCATAACAAGGAAGAAGAAGTAAACCATCTCCAAGAAACACCTGACCTTATCTTTTAAGAATTTATGGGTGCATATGGAAGTATCGGAAAAACAAAATATGGTGTTACAACCGAGAAACACGATCTCTTCACGGTTCATATAGACTACTTGCTGGTCCATATAACTTACGCCAGCATCAACGACGCTCGAGATCTGGCATCTGTGTTCTGATAGAAGTTTGGTCGATTGCCAGAACTTCTGGAAAAGTCTTGAAACTTCGGGCTACCTTTTCTATTTGGCAACATAGAACACCTTCCGAGATCTATCCACTCATCATGATGTATGGGAAACATTACTTGGTCTGACGGAGCATGTATTGCAGTTCAAATGCACAGAAACTATCTATGCCAAAGATAGCTGCCAGTTGAATTGGTGGAAGTAATCGTCCGTGAGACCGAGGTTCAAATACTGGACTGTAGCCATTCACCTAGTGTCCATGTTACAACGAAAACCGTTGTTTGTTACTTTCATGCAAATGGAAATTATGAAAGAGGATCTAGTTACAGATACAGCTATTTAGTTTTAGTTCCAGGAGGAACTATCTCTTAAGGAAGGAACAATGTCGTCCAACAAATCCAACTCTTTTGACCTTAATCGCTGCCGTTACGTCTGACGCTGGTGATCGAGACTAGACAGGAATGTTTTCTCCATACGCAGTCAGACCCGTCGAGTAAGGATTTCGAGAGCTTCTAGACTACCATCGAGAATCATCTCGAGAAGGGCCGGCTGGCTTCATATAAATAACGCGACTTTGTTTAGTAAAGACAGTTGAAGTTTATAAATAGAAGTTTTAAACTAAATGTTGGCTAGTAAAGATAAATTGTTAAATAAATTAGATTATAAATGTAAAATATAATAGTGCTTAAGATAAAAAAATTAATTTGTACTTGATGTAAATATATATATATATATATATATATATTTAAATATGTAAATATATATATATATATATATATATATATATATATATATTTACTCATACTTACTCAACACCAATACAACCCTTCATCACAATAATAGTGACAGTATTATTGCAGATGAAATCTAATTTTTTAAATGACCACCTTTTATGATACAAGTCTGATTAAAAAACTTTTAATATTCAACCTTTCATCATAACAATGGTGACAGTATTGTTTTTGATGAAATAATTTACAACATCCTTTCATTCATCACAACAATTAGTGACAGTTTTGTTGATGATGAAATAATTAATCAAACTGCATTCTCAGATAAAACTTTATTAAATAATAATTTAGGTACAAAGTAATCTTCCTAACTAGGTTCCTTATTAGTAATTTCTATATTTAATCTAACACACTTGTATACATAAACAACGAATGACACAAAAATTGACATAACAGTTAAATTTCAAACTGAATTTTAACGACAATAATTTTAAGTTATATTGTAAAACTGTGTAATTTTAATTCTATATGTGCATCAAAATCATAACATTTAACATCATTAATAATTCATCCTCACAAAGATGTAAGTAACTCACTCTCTTAATAATATTATGTTCCTATGAAGACACACCACACCTTTTGTAGATTCCCTGAAGATGGAAATAAGTTATTAAATTTCCGAAAGCTTGGATCATCTTTAAAGAGTTTTCTTTATTATATATTGCTGCTGCCCCCAATAAATTAGTTTGAATTTTACATTACTATTCAGCAAAGACTACCCTTCCACTATATATATATATATATAAACTATTTTTAAATCAAACAAACGTTATAATATAACAGACAAACTGGAAATTGCTCCCATTATTATAACACCAAATATAGATGATTCTGACTTCAGTTCTAATTGTCTAACTCTGACTGATGTAAGAAGAACTTTTTAGCCTTTATTTGAGTTTTAAACTAGCATGTGTTGTTAATTTCATTATCTAACTGTTCTAATTATCATTACTTCTCTTAAAAATAGATGTTTATAAACAAATTTACATCAAGCCCAAATAAAATTTTGTTTGTCATCGTTAATCTAGTCTTTCTTTGGCCATTTTAAACCTCTAAATTCAGTATTTTGGAAAACTTCAAATTCATCATCGTCAATGACGTGCATTGGAGTTTATATTGTAAACATTTAAAATTAATTGTATGTGTTGTATTTGTATATTTAATTGATACAAACCGGATGCAAAAGTGTATAAATTTTAAAAGGAAATATTTTGAGAAGCAATAAAGTGATTTACATAAAGTAATTTGTGTTTTGTTTAATATTTTCCTCGGACTTTAACAATGCTCCTCGTATAAAAGACTTTTGAGTAATAGCAGTATTTAAAACAAGTAACGTACCATTTGATGTGGTATTTATATTCGAAAAATCTTCATAATCTTCATCATCCTCTTCATATTCTTCTGACAACGTCAGAGCTGAAACAAAAAAACGAAAATGTTAGACTTTATACATATAAATCTACTTTTTATTAATAAATTATTTTTTTAAATGTTTTAAAATGTTTAAACAAATTATTGGACATAAATAATGCAATGCACAGGAAAAGGTTATATTTAAAAATTTGTGCCAACAAAGGCACCGGAAGTGTCACGAATTGGTTAAAAGAGGTGGTAGAAGTTCTAAACAAGCCACATATTTTGATGAAGACCATGGTTCAGTTAGGTTAAAAATTGAATAAGTGTCAAATTTTTTAAATGGATTATTTTGTTTTATTACATCATTTAGCAGAATATTTCTGGGAAATCCTCGTATCTGCTCACGTGCGTACTATTATTGGTGTTGAAAAGTTAATTAAAATAACAAAAACAAATACGTATTTTTTTACTACCGTCTGTTTTCACAGTTTGGATTCAACATTAATTAAACATTCATTAAAATAGTCGTAATATTTGATATATACATATTTTTTCATGGCGATTCTAAATATATTGATTACCGCTGCCGGCCGGTGGCGATTTTATCGTTTTTTATTTTACGAAATTTCATTAATTTACGGATTTAATAAAATTCCTATTTCCAGTTCGAATTCATAAACTAAAGAGAAGCTTTGAAATTATTACCAAATATTCGCGGTAGAGTATAGAAAGAATTTTTAGAATTTAAGTATTACCAGATTGTTTTGGAACATTTTTATTATTAGGCTATTGCATAGTTTTTATCGCATGCTTTGAGTGGCGACCGAATCAAGAAATTTCGTAACATCGTAACGAAAAAAACCTAACAGCCCCCACTCCGACCGGCACAGCGGTACGGCGTTATAGCCATGGAAGGTTTTACCCGACCCTATTCGTACTAGTATGAAGGGGTATTTCGATTTTTCAATTTTTCGGTTTTTTGATTTTTCGTTTTTCAGTTTTTCGATTTTTCAATTTTTCGGTATTTTGATTTTTTGATTTTTCGATTTTTCGATTTTTCAATTTTTCGGTTTTAAGATTTTTCGTTTTTTCAGTTTTTCGATTTTTCGTTTTTTTGATTTTTTGGTTTTTCGATTTTTCGAATTTTTGATTTTTCAGTTTTTTGATTTTTCGATTTTTTGGTTTTTCGATTTTTAGTTTTTTCAGTTTTTTGATTTTTCGATTTTTCAATTTTTCGGTTTTTTATTTCTCGATTTTTCGGTTTCGGTTTTTCGATTATTCGATTTTTCGATTTTTCAGTTTTTCGATTTTTCAATTTTTCGGTGTTTTGATTTTTTGATTTTTCGGTTTTTCGATTTTTCGAATTTTCGATTTTTCAATTTTTCGGTTTTAAGATTTTTCGTTTTTTCAGTTTTTCGATTTTTCGTTTTTTTGGTTTTTCGATTTTTCGATTTTTTGATTTTTCAGTTTTTTGATTTTTCAGTTTTTTTATTTTTCGATTTTTTGGTTTTTCGATTTTTCGATTTTTCGTTTTTTCAGTTTTTTGATTTTTTTGATTTTTCAATTTTTCGGTTTTTTGATTTCTCGATTTCGGTTTTTCGATTATTCGAATTTTCGATTTTTCGAATTTTCGATTTTTCGAATTTTCGATTTTTTGATTTTTCGATTTTTCGATTTTTCGATTTTTCGATTTTTCGATTTTTCGATTTTTCGATTTTTCGATTTTTCGATTTTTCGATTTTTCGGTTTTTCGATTTTCTTTTATTGAATAAATGAGAAGTTAATATTGTTTAACGCTGCACCGCTGTGCCGGTCGGAGTGGGGGGTCTTAAGATTTTTTTTTTTCGTTACGGTGTTTTTGTCAATTATTTCCGGTTTATTTCTAATGTTGTTGCATACATTATTAATTTTTTCCAATAACTGTGCTCAGGAATTCGTTTCTTCGTTGTAAACCTCTGATTTAAGGTAGCCACATAAAAAATAATCCAGATGTGTTAGATCTGGAGATCTTGGTGGCCAATTGACGGGACCGCCTCGACCTAATCCATTTATTTGGGAAACGATGATTTAAATGGTCTCCGACCAGTATTTGAAAATGAGGTGCAGCACTATCGTGTTGAAACCACATTCCTCTGGTATTAATCCCTTCTAACAAATTTGGCAGGATGTCTCTAAGGAAATTTAAATAAACTTCAGCTATTAATCTGTATTCAAAAACATATATTTTTATAAATACCAAACCATACATTTATAGAAAATCTATATTGGGAATGTTTTTGTCATACAGTGGGAGGATTTTCAGTTGCCCAAATATGACCATTCCTAGTATTATTGATCACATCACGTGTAAATTAGGATTCATCAGTAAATACAATTCTCGATATTGTCCTTCTGTGGGCCAAAGTTCATCTACAAAAAGATAAGCGGATTACGTCGATTTCGTGTTCAAGTCGCTGTACTTTTTGTACATGAAATGGATGCAAATTTTCTTTTTTTATTAAAGTTTTCCATATTCTTGTTATCGGTCTGCTAATTCATTACTACTTCTTCTTATACTGATAGAAGGATTATTTCGAACTATCTGTAGTATCTCCTCTTCTTGTCGAAGATTATTTCTCGGAGCATTTTCATGTTTAACTGTAGTTGGAAACTGTAAAAATGTTTTAGAATTTGGTAAACGGTGATTAGGAAAGCGTCTGCGATCCTCCTTTACTGCTACTCTACCGTTTCCATTACAAAAACCGAACACAAAAATAATGTCTGCATGTTCTTCATTACCAAATTGAGATAGCATCCTGAAATACTTATTTTCATACCATTAGAAACTTACACTTATGAACAAAAGTAATTTAGCTCAAAATATTGTACATAAAATAAATTATACTATTTGACACAAGCCTAGTGGTATTATACAATTTTACATTAATCATGTTTAGGACGGTATGAGTGATAGTGTAATTTGGCGCATATTGGCAGTTGACTAACACAGCGGTGCAGCGTTGAATGCCGTGGAAGGTTTTATCCGAATCCCTATTCGTATTAGTATGAAGCGGAGTTAAATATACATATGCGGACTGGAACGTTTATGCAATACAAGAACTAGAATTTAAGTAATAATGTAACTTTTATAGTTTTTAAATCATATATTTATGTGATTCCATTAAATTACAATGTAAGTATCATTTGACATGATAAAATTTTGTTTCCAATTTATTTTTGTTTAATTAAAAAGTAATAATTCGTAAATATTTGTAATAAAATCTATATATTCAAAATAATCGATTAATTGAAAATAATCGATTTTTTTGGAAAAATCGATTTATCGTTTAATCGGTGTTTTAATTAATCGATTATTTTCGATTAATCTATTATTTTCGATTAATCGATTATTTTCGATTAATTCATTATTTTCGATTAATCGATTATTTTCGATTAATCGATTATTTTCGATTAATCGATTATTTTCAAATTTTCAAAGGTATTATATGAAAATAATTGATTGATCGAATATAATTCGTTATTTTATAAAACCAATATTTCGGTTATTTTTTAGAAATATCGATTTATCGGTTAATCAGTTTTTTAATATTTATTAATTATTTTTGATTTATTGATTTTTATCGATTATTTTAGATTTTTCAAAGATAATAGAATAATCAATTTTAAAGGAAATATGAAAAGGATTATTAGAAAATAATCGATAATTCGGTTATTTTTTTGGAAAATAGATTTATCGTAGAATCGGCTTCTTAATTAATCGATTATTTTCGGTATTTCAATGATAATCGAATTATCGATTTTAAATGAAATACAATAAAAATAAATTATTGATAATAATCGATTGATCGAAAATAATCGATTATTTAAAATAATCGACAATTCGTTTTTTTTAAATCGATTTATCAGTTAATCGACTTTTTAATTAATCGATTATTTTCGATTTTTTAAAGATTATCAAATAATCTGTTTCAATGGACGAAAAAAAAAATGGATTATTTGAAAATAATCTATTATTTAAAATAAATGATAATTTTTTGTAAACACTTATTTATCGGTTAATTGGCTTTTTAATTAATCGATTATTTTTGATTTTTCAAAGATAATCAAGTAGTTTATTTTAAAGGAAATACGAAAAACAAATAGATTGAAAACAATGGATTGATCGAAAATAATCGATTATTTTCAATGATCGATTATTTATTTCGACAATCACTCATCCTCTATATTAATTAATATTCCTAAAGAAAGGAGCTGAGGTTACAATACAAAACAGCATTTTCTCATTTTGACTAATTTTTAATATTATGTAATAGCCGTAGAAATAATATAATGTTTAACTCAAAAGGTTTGATTTGCAGTATTCGCCTGCGCACATGCTTTTTTTATAATACTCGTAGACAATGAGTACCATTTCTTGCTCTATTAACAATATTCTATTTCAACATTTTACTGTAGTATCTTGCTGAAAAGTCCGTAGTAAATAAACGCTAACGAAATATTCTATAAAAGGTCTTCTTTTTACATAAAATGTTGTGCATCTGTTTGAGATTAAAAAATCACGTTAATTTTATTTCATAATACAAAATTCCATTAAACATATATTTTAAATAATTCTAATAGTTCATTATGATGCTAATAAACAAAGTCCGGTCCTTGTTACAGATTTCGGGTTTCTGCCCAGTTCCCCCACTCCGTTAACCTTTCTTTAGAAATTGGCAACATTTGCGCAGGTTAAACACCGGTGTATGTTATATCTCTGGTCTCTTTTATCTAAGATTATTTCACAGTCTTGGTAATTTAAAATGTTTAGTTTTTAAAAAGTATATACTTATTCAATGCATAGTGGCGCATAACGAGGTTCATTCAAGTTCAGCTAATTTTAAAAATACAAGCTACCAGTGGAGACTTCGTTTATTTAAATTCAAAAAGATAAACAAATAGGAAATATACTTTTTTTTCAATAAGTACAACAATATTAACTTCATATTTATTCAATAAAAGAAAAAAAGTTTGTTTTCTTATCGGGCACCTCGCTCAAAAAGTGTAACTTGAATTAATATCAAAGAAAAAACTTAAATTAATATCAAAGAAAAAAAAATACTGCATAAATAAAATAAATAATTATAATTGCATAAGTTGATAAAAAATGTCTACCGTGTCAGCTAACCTGAAAAAAAAAGACCGATTTCGAAAATTCAAACACCGGAAAACTGGCCTACATAGTAAAACCGTATAGTAAATTTTGCAATTTTCCAAAAAGCTCTCTATTCCCCCCAACCCAAGACCCAATATCACTAGAAACCTGTTCAGCGCCGGCCCAAAATAAATTGTCGATATATTTAGAATCGAGATTTCAAAGATATAAACATTCAAGAGTGAGTAATTCAGTTTTTCAGTTTTCAGTCGACTTATTTTGCGAAAACGTACAAAAAATAGTGTGAACGATAAGAACGCGCGATGATTGTTAAAGTGAAATAAAAAATTAAGGTTAAAAAAAGTTGTGCGCGTGTACAGTTTTAAAACGTCTGGATGTTAAAACTTGTAAAAGTGTTAACGAGTGATGAAGATATGAAAAGTGATTTTTTGATCATTAATGTTTCGTTAGTTATGAAAACTGACAGGTGTTTTGAGCATTTTGAACAAATGGTACATATTTAATTTTAATAATACAGGGTGGTGCTTCCTATACGCGTAGATTTCTGTAAAGAAAACGGCTTAACATTAAATTATTTTTCTTCACAGGGATATACACTACAAATTAAAAATATCATATAGGGTAATCTAAAAATAAGAATTCATATCAAAGTAGTTTGTTTTTAAATTGAAAATTCTATTTTTTTATGGTGCCTTTTGATTACCACGAACAAAATAAGTAAAGTTTCTGTAATGTTTTTATACCACTTTCGTTTTTGAAATTTTTAAAGGATTCTTAATTAGTAAGCTTAAACACGAGGGGTAAACCACTGAGGATGTAGGTGTACACACAGGATAATTTTCGAGGATGTATAAGGATTTGCAGGATTTACATTCGAATAAAATGCAAAAATATAGTGCCTGACGAGTCATAGTAATTTGGTGGTCCACCGGTAACGCCTCGGTCTGTATATCCCAAACTAAACTTTTTTTAAAAAATCGGTTTTTACGGTGAGATGTATATTAGAAAAGGCAACAATTTAAAAATAATTTCAATAATACAGGGTGCTCCAGGAAATTGGAATATATTGATATGGATTCCTGATTGGTGTGCTTTGAGCATCAGGAAGAATATCAGCCACTATGTGAAATGTGTTTAAGTTATAAATTTGTAAAAAAAAATTGAATTGGTTGTTATAGTAATTGTGATTTTTTGGATGGATGTTTAATAAAGTTAGTTGGGTACCATCCAAATTGAGAGGAGGATCAAAAGTTTCAACAATCCTCAAAATTAAACAATTTTAGTATTAAAATTATTTTCTTGGAACCAAGAAACAAATTATGATATTCAGAAAATCACAGTGAAGAATAATCATTATATACAGGGTGTTATTGAAATACACGTACATATTAAAATGGGGAATAGTATGTAATGACCAAAAACGATTGGCACCAATTTTAACTTCAAATTCTAAAATTTAAATATTGGGGAAGAGTCCCCTTTTCCGACCTTCTAGTTTCCATATTTAAAGAAGTAAAATAAATCGAAATTGAACTTACCCATAGAAATTGCACTGTTGCCGTAGCAAAACCAATTAATTCAAAATAAAGTTTATTACAGTAATTGTTCAAAATGCCGTCCATTATTATTTACACACACTTGCAATCGTCTTTCGAAAGAACTTTGAACATTAGAAATTAGTCTTGGATTTTGTCGTAGTTCCTCGGCTACCGCATTAACTTTATTGGTTAATTGTTCAACACTATTAATAGGTTCATTATAAACCAGTTGTTTCATGTGACCCCACAAAAAGAAATCGCATGGATTTAAGTCCGGAGATCTCGGAGGCCACTTAGTAGGTCCATTTCTGCCTATCCACTTTTGAGGAAATCTAATGTTCCAAAACTGCCTTACGTTTAAATCAAAGTGAGGAGGAGCGCCATCTAGTAGGTACCACATCCGTTGCCTTAATTGTAACGGTTTCTCTTCTAGGAGTACTGGCAAAATATCTTCTAAAAAGTGGAGATATCCTGGCCCATTTAATCTGTTCGGGAGAACATAAGGCCCGATTAAATACTGATCTATTATGCCAGCCCAAACATTTATTGAAAATTTTCTTTGATGCCCAGTTTCCCTAATGGCGTGAGGATTTTCATCACTCCAAATATGCGTATTGTGCATATTGAACACGCCATCACGAGTGAATGAAGCCTCGTCAGTATACAATAATATTTTTAGAAAATCAGGAATATCAACACATTTTTGAATCATCCATTCACAAAACTCCACTCTCTTTTCTTCATCACCTGGATATAAGGCCTGGACTTTTTGGATGTGATAAGGATGTAAACCTTGTTCTTTAAGTGTCCGCCACACAACAAATGAGGACACTCCAATTTCAAGACCTAGTCTTCTACAACTTAATTGAGGCCGGTTTTCAACAGCTTCCAATATTTCTTCTTCGGCCGCCAATGTTCTTTGTGTTCTTGTTCTCCCTCGATCTGCATTCACACTCTCAAATTTTCCATGGTCTCTTAGATGCTGAACAGTTGAAATAAACGTACGACAGTCCGGAATTCTCCGATTTGGAAACCGTTCGCGATACAGGATTTGTGCTTGCCGAGAATTTTCTCCAGCTGCCCCATAAACCAGCACTATATCCGTTAGTTCAATATTCGTAAATAGTGGCATCGTAAAAAAATATTTAAAAGTAATCGTAACAACACTTTTTACCAACTTGGAAATGACGCGCTCGTGTTAGCCAGATTCGTAAATCAACTAAAATTTTAATAATCTATAGTTTCAAAAATGTATAGTTTAAAAACAATCATTTATCAAATATTCTAGTTTTTTGATAACGAGGGTAGTAAAAACCAGTCTTTGGAAATAGAAATTAATTCGAAAATCTTGGCAACATGGTTATTTCTTACAAGACTAGTTTTCTTATCATCTGACAAAAACTTGCATAATATTAATTACTGTTGATGTTTAAAAGGTAAATAAACCTAATTTATATAGGTCATCTTCAACATATCAGTGAAGTACGTTTGTTTTAGAATTAATTTTCAAAAATTAATAACTCCCTTAATAAGGGGTATTTTTAAAAAATAATATTTTTCTACATTCAGTGGGGATCTGCGCAATACCCAGTTTTAATATGTACGTGTATTTCAATAACACCCTGTATAATGTTCTAATAAATGGATATTTTGAAAATCTGATTATTATTGGATACATATTTTGAAAGAAGTAAATAGTATCGCACTAATTGAACGTATCAAAGGAAAATAAATCCAAAAGATAAGTACTTTTGAATTGATAAGTTATTTGACAGTGAAGTAATTTTCAAAGTTGTCATTGATAATGACATACTTTACAATCTACAAGTTTTAAAAGCATTCAAATCAACAGAGAATACCAGCTGGGAGCAGAGCAATTACAGAAATCCGGAAGAAGATTGAGAACATATTTTTTTTTATTATTGTTATCAGTTTTAACTTGTTTATAAAATTTCAGAGAGAGAAGCACACCCTCAGGAGTATTGTTCCTGGTGCTCAGAGCTGCGCCGGGGCGGAAATTCATATCAATATCAAAGTTAGGTTTTTTAATCGGGACACCCTATATTTTATTGAATTTTTGAAATATATAAAGAAAATTAGTGTAACTTTGTTAAGGGGTTGTTATACCTAGAGTCTATAATTTTTGATATATTCGAGGATTTTCAAAATTTTCGGGTGTTTAAAAAATGCAAATATATCCTACATTTCTTAATATTTCAAATTGATTTTTTTAAGGTACATTAAGCGTCTTCTGGGCTATAACCTCAAATACTTACTGATCAAAAATATTATATAGGGTGTTTACGAAATACATATTTATTATACGTAGATTTAAAAACTAAAAACTTCGATATTTTAAATAGAACACCATATATATTTTAACGTTATTTGAAGTATCTTTCGAAACCCTTTCAAACGATGTAGGTATTCCCTATACCTATCTGTGATAGTTTTACTAACATTGTTACATTTTTTTTTGAAACACGAATTACAAAATAATACAAGATAATAAATTAATTTAATAGATGTTCAAAATGATGACCATCTTCTTGAATACACATTGTGATCCTTCGTTCAAACGAATTTCTTATTCTTTTTAGCATATCGTAATAGTTGCAAATGCATTCTTAATTCGTTCCTTCATATCTTCTGGCGTGGTTGATGGGGTATTGTATACAAGACTTTTTATGTAACTCCATAAAAAAAAGTCTGGGGGTGTTAAACAGGGTGATCTAGGTGGCCAATGGCATGGGCCTCCTCTTCCTATCCATTTATTAGGAAATTTCCGGTATAAGTAATTTCTCACGTCCCGCGCAAAATGAGAAGGAGCTCCATCTAATTGTAGCCACATTTGTTGCCATACGTTCAATGGTATATCTTAGAGAAGCAACCAAAAATCTGAACGAAGGAACATCAAAAAATTATTTCCATTTAGATGACTATTAAAAAATATGGGCCTATAACTTTCTCTCCAATAATCCCCCCATAAATATTTATGCTCCATCTGTTTTGTCGGTCAATAGTTCTAAATATGTGCCGATTTTCTGTATCATAGTAATGGAAATTATTGCGATTTACTAAGCCATAGTAATGGAAATTATTGCGATTTACTAAGCCATTGTTATGGAAAGTGGATTCGTCTGTAAATAAGACAAAATCGAAAAAGTCTCTATTTAGCCCAATCGGATTAGTATTTTGGATTCTGAAAAATTCGAAGCAGCAATTTTCCTTCGGAATTCGTTGGAGGGGGTCTCTGGTAGTCTAAATTCAAAAAGTTGGGATTCCAAAGTGGTCGTTACCTCCGCCATCTTGATTTAAAGGGTTATTTTTTGTATCTTGAATAACTCATTTATTTTCAATTTTACACGGAAAATAGTTTTTACAAAAGTTATTTAAAATTAAATTTCCTACAATTCTGCTTTTTTTTGTACGATCGATTTTTTTCGATTTATACCCGAAAAGAGGGGGTGAATTTTTGGTTATAGAATACTCGTTTATTTTCAATTTTACGAGAAAAATTGTTATAAACAAAGTTGTTTAAAATTAAATTTCCTACAATTCTGCTTTTTTCTTGTACGATCGATTTTTTTCGATTTATACCCGAAAAGAGGGGGTGAATTTTTGGTTATAGAATAACTCGTTTATTTTCAATTTTACGAGAAAAATTGTTATAAATAATGTTGTTTAAAATTAAATTTCCTACAATTCTCCTTTTTTTTGTACGATCGATTTTTTTCGATTTATACCCGAAAAGAGGGGGTGAATTTTTGGTTATAGAATAACTCGTTTATTTTCAATTTTACGAGAAAAATTGTTATAAACAAAGTTGTTTAAAATTAAATTTCCTACAATTCTGCTTTTTTTGTACGATCGATTTTTTTTGGATTTATACCCGAAAAGAGGGGGTGAATTTTTGGTTATAGAATAACTCGTTTATTTTCAATTTTACGAGA